TAACCACACGCCTGTGAGGTTGTAGTATCACTCCGGTCGAGAATCTCCCATTTGTGCCGACATGGCACCCCACTACACTTTTAGTCTAAAAAAATCTGTACAGTCAGCAAAGGAAAGACGAACAAGACTTACAATAGTCACATATGATGTGAACCTCGTGACCTGCAGGTGTACAAAGTGGTGAAAGTCACTTACTATCACAGGGCCCAATGCGAGTTAATTTTACAACTCGATCGTCACGATGACCGCATTTTGCCGCGATTGCCCCCCGTTGATACTCTACACCAATCACAGCGCCGAACGCGCTGTCAGAGATTTCAGTTGCTGGCTGTACACTTTTAAGACTGCATTTACATAAGATGCACCACCATAAATATATACTGCAATTGATTTTATTAGTTTCTACAAGATGAAGCAACTTGTCAGATGTAACAGGGTAGATTCCTAGGTTTAAAATAAATTATTTCACCTGCATTATTAAATGTAACATCCGTGTGGTGACGGATTAAGAATACAGAGTGTCACCACCCCTATTCATCCCGTCGGTGTCGTAAGAGCCGACTAAGGGAAAAAACTACGCAGGACAACAGCACTGCAGAGAGAAGGAAAACTTGACACAAACCCTATACCAACCCGTCTGGCCAGCGTGGTATAGTAGGCCAAAACCTCCTTTCTAAGGAGAGGCATGTCCAGCAGTGGACTATTAAAGGCTGTTGATGTGATGTGATTAAATGTAACATCTCAAAGTAGATCCTGAATTGTCCTTTATTGTAAATTTATTTTTTTATTGATTTGATATCTTGAAATCAATCTATACAAATAAATAAAATTGGAGTGTCTGTTTGTAATATTAAAATAACCGCTTTTTACTAAATGCATATGTATGTTTACACGGTACATATGCCAAAATAACATTTTTTACAATTTTTGTCTGTCTGTCTGTTTGTTCCGGGTAATCTCTGGAACGGCTGGACCGATTTCGACGGGACTTTCACTGGCAAATAGCTGATGACATAAGGAGTAACTTAGGCTACTTTTTTAGACTAGCTTCGCCCCGCGGCGTTGCCCGCGGTTATAACAACAAACGCGGGTAACACCGCGAGTCTCAGCTAGTATATATATATATATATATACGTAGACGTATTATCGGATCACAGATAATCATAGTTAAATTTAAAAATAATATTTTTTTTTCTATGTGACAGTACTTTACAATTTTTTTAGTATCTTACTAAGAACGTCACTGGGAAAATACTCGACACGCATAAATTACTGGTAACAGCATATCATAAGATGTCATCATCATCATCAACAGCCTTTAATAGTCCACTGCTGGTCATAGGCCTCTCCTCAGAAATGTGATCCCCTCATAAGATGTGAAATATTGAAATTTTATTTGTATAATATTTCCAATTACATGGCGACGCGTCGCCGCACGCATTACACGTTACCTATCGTATCACATAGCGTAAAGACGCGTCGCCACGCCAACAACCTTTCTGACTCTCCGCATTAGTCGTTCCACATTAAAATGGGTCACGTACCACGAATACATTCCCTAACCTTACATAACTAAAATTAAAAACTTTAATTTTTAAGGGTCTCCGCACACTATCTACTCTTTGAAGTTGATTCGCGTAACGCAGCGACGTGTTGTACCACAAACAGTAGATACTGTGTAAAGAAAATATATTTATGTAAACTTACAACAATTTCTCACATTAACTTATAAAACTAAAAACTGAAAAAGTTTTTGATGTCCATATTTTGGCTTGATCTCTAGCTTAAACTATACAACGTAATTAATGATTACATTGACGAAAATTGAAGAAATTGATTTTACTACCATTTGAACCCCCCTCCCCACATTCTGAGAGAGCAGTGGAGGTTAGGCTCTGGTAACCGCAGTCATTCGTTGAAAGGCATCGAAAGGATAGCTTAACTGTCACTCCGGTCGAACCTGGCCCATTTGTGTCGAAGTATGACTTTCCCAAAATAATCCGTATAAGCAATATCCCTTTTTCTATTTCCAATTCAGGTCAGTATTTAAAAAATGTCTCAAGTAACGGTTGAATTCTGATTATCATCGACATATAAAACAGCATCGATCTTATTATCGAACGCGTTTTAAGTTTTACTCAGTTGAAACTAATCTCAAGCACTGATTTGAACTTACAGTCTGTTCCCGATTACGTTTCCACATGTACATTCCGTATATGGTTCGTGTTATGACGGATAAGGATTCGGGGTGTCACCACCCCTATTCATCCCGTGGTTATTGTAAGGGCCGACTAAGGAAAAACTACAGGACAACTGCACTGCAAAGAGAAGAAAAATTTAACACAAACCCTATACGGCCCATACCAACCTGTCTAGCCAGCGTAGTATAGTAGCCCAAAACCGCCTTTCTAAGGAGAGGCCTATGTCCATTACTGGGCTAGTAAAGGCTGTGGATTGTGCATATGAATCACTGCTTAAGAATAGTTTCAGCTTGTCTCATGTGAATAAAGATCATATCTGTCAAAATCTATACTTGAGTGAAGATTTTAACATCGTTCTGAAATAATAATCTCTACTTAAAACAGTTTTAAAATTAGATTCACGACTGAGACACCTTTTAAAATAAGACGCGGACTTGAGAAAAAAAGTTGGGAAAAATGGGTGTACACACAAACTTTTCCCATTTTTTTTTACCCAAATTTGGAGGCAATAGGTTTTTCACATACTACGTGATTTTGATTGTTATAGTTAGCGAAATGAGGGTGTGTCATACGCTTCTGACTACCGCTTGCTCTGATACTCAATTTTCGTTAATGTAATTTATAGAGGATTTAATGCAAAAACTGGCTAAGTACAGTCAACTGAGTTTTGAGTATTAAATTTAGTTTTTACTTCACTTTGACTAAAATGAAAATTTTGTTTGGATCCATGCCGTTTTTAACGCTTACACACAACAAAGAACTTTCCAAGTACATACAAAAACATGGTTTTTAGGTTTAATTTTTCAGAAACTGCGAAGAAAAGCTACAGTGTTAATTACACAATTGTTTGCGCAGGATGGCTATCGAATCGACGACCTCGGACTTGCATAAGGTAACTTAACCAACAGGCCAATCAAAGCATGTTTTTAGGTGTAAAATTTTAATTAAAAACTAAGTTGACTGTACTTAGCTGATTTTTGGAGTAAACCTTTGATACGTTGGTTTAAAAAAATTAAAATACATTTTTAGATGCGTATTTTGTTACAACTCTTCTACATAAAGACTTAAAATGCATCTAATTTGCTTAAAAATACATTTTTTCACATATTAATACATAAATTTATTGGAAGATATTTTCTTATAACTATACGAAATTTTTGTAAATTAAAAAAAAACTCGAAATACATAAATTTCTGAAATATTTAATTATTGCAGCTGATTGTATAGTCACGTGTATAACAGACACATACAGTAAATAATCTTCATACAACCGAAAACACTTCAAATTTTGGCATATGATGCTTTTTATGTTGTGCCCACTAAGAAAGGATTATTATTATTATTGAGATATAAGAAATAATAAAAATAACTAGTCAATGATATTTGTGCGCGACTATACATAACGCACACATCAAGTATATTAGATATATAAAACTATACATGTGTGTGCTGAGTACAGTTATGCATATAAATAATAAAAATGCCTATACCATTAATTTGATTTATTTTGAACTAATGATTTATAAATAAGTGTGAATATTATGTAAATAGATATTGCTATAGTTTTAAATTTTGCACATAGATATGCCATATTCTGGAAAAGCCGAAAAAAATTCTAGCCAGAATAGAGATTAACGTGAAAAAAACCCACTTGAAAATATAGAGCAGTAACTGTGTTACTGTGTTGATATTTAACCAGCAATGACATGTTATGCTTAATATCCAGTTTACCTAAAAAAGGAAACGCGTTGTAAATGTGTTATCCGAAAAATTCGTTGTACAAAGATATATTTACTGATTTATAAATAAATTTACTTAAAAAACAAACTAGCTTTACAGTAGGTGCACATGTTGGGTTACATCTTACATCTCAGCTACCAGCTAACGGACAACTCTAGCGCCGCGCGCTCATTGGTCAAATCAAATAGCGAACGCTTCTAAGACTTCCTGTTACATACTTCCGTCCCTCTTATCGAAAAAAACTGCCACAGTTTGCAGGAAAGCAAGAGGAATTGTGTTCCACATCAAATGGTTGAACGGCGCCCTGTTACGCATTTCCGTCCCTTACCGCAAGAGCGAGAGGAAAGATGTTACACATAAAAAAACATTTTTATACAGCTGTAAACTGTTTAACTAAAAAACAATCACACAAATTAAAATTTTATCGTAAACAACACATTATAAAAACCATGTATATGTATAATAAATATATACAACACTATAATATACTACACAAGTGTATATAATAGGAAAATTCCCAATTACAACACATATTTTTGGATATCATTCGTAAGTACATACATTTTTTAATAAAAATAATAGTAAAATCGCAACGTTGCACCCTGGTTATCCTCCTTAGTGGTGGATGAATTCCTACAATTAACACCAGACATAGGTTTATAAGCCAGCGAATAAATTATTCAGATTATAAAATAAGATTTTATCTTAAATGACGTCACGTCACAAACAATTATGGAATGGGGTAAATACAATAGATTGGGAAACATAATGGATGGGTAAAAAGTATTCATCTAATTTTGAATTTTTAGAATCCCGATGGAGTACTTATCCTGGACTGTTCAAGGATTTTGACACTAATTTACCCATTAACGGATAATGAGATTTTCCCAAATAATACATTGGGAAAACTTATTATGGACTTTGAATACGATATTTTGAGATTACAGAATTTTCCCATCAACAATAGTATTTATTTATTTTTTTACAGAAACAAAATAGATTGGGAAAATAAATAGTTAAGTTCTAACGTGTTTTCTCTTCAGTAGCACCACGTGGTGTTCAGTGTGGTCGATATTCCCGTAGATGGCGCAGGGCACACCTAGCGGCTGTACCCTTTGCGATGCGATAGTTGCGTCCCACGCCCTTGAAGGTGCCACGACCGAACACTTCCACGCACACACGAACTCTGCGACCGTCAGCCAGACGCTCTGGTTTACTGTTGAACAACAATAATTACTGAATTTAAAAAGTTTTTTTTTTAAATACAACTCTACACTAGGAATATATGCTGTGTCTCGGGGGACTTTACCAAGCATACATGAAACGGATACAATGAACACCTAATGAACCCGGGGATCGAACTCACAACACTCAGCTCAGTAAGAAACGGCGAGGCGACCGCTTAACCACTATACCATCCGTGTAGCCAATAATCTTCAAACACCGACGTTTGTTTGTTTATTTTTTTTTACACTCAAACGGCTTGACTAAATTTGATAAAATTTGGTATGAAGATGGCTGACACCCTGGATTAACTCCCCAATCCAGTCGTCTAACTAAAAATAATAATATTTCGAACATCTGACACACAACGCCATCTAGTTAACGTCCTTTTTTTGCCTATCTTCCCTTCCCTTCTTATCTAATTATTCATTCATATTTTATCTTGCTGATAGACATACTTATATATTTCTATATATAATTTATCCCAAACATTTGACAAAGACACAACAAATGATCGTGCTCATCACACAATATTTGTTCTGGATGGGAAACGAACAAACGATCTCCGGCTAAGCAGTCAGAGTCACTAAGCATTAGACCAATAGACCAGACAGTATCCGGAAAAGTTATCGTCTGCGGTATTTCCGGACCGATATGAACTTCAAACCTTCAAGAAAAGAGCGTACTTCTTTCTCAAAGGCCGGCAACGCGCTTGTGACTCGGCGGTACTCACTTTCCATCAGGTACCCGCCGGCTTGTTTGAACGGTATGATAAAACTTACCCAAATTTAGCAGTATCCGGCTCAGCCTCCAGAAGTTCTCTGACGGGAGACTTGGGAGCGGCTGCGCTGAAGGCCTCCAACTCCGCGCCCATTAGGTTCACGTAAGACTTCCAAACGGCTCCTAGAGACATACCTGTGGGTGATGAAAAATGGGTTAAGTATGCAGAAATTACCAGAAGGATTGCACGGACAATGGTTAAAATGGGCGTTTTGTTACTACGCCTACTTATTATTGAGGGTTCGATACCTACAGGAGACAAAAAAAATATTTAATAGTCTATGTTGTGTGTCAGTGTTTATATATATCACATCACATCATGAACAGCCTATAAAAGTCCACTACTGGACATAGGCTTCTTTTTAGAAAGAAGGTTTTGGCCTGCTATACCACGCTGGCCACTACCATACCGGGTTGGTCTAGGTTGTGTCAAGTTTTCTTTTTGTTTATATTTATATGTGGTGTGTCTGTAAAGTCCTTCGCAAAATATGCTTATGATGTATATGTTAAAAAGATGAGTAATGGTGTGTATCGATGATATTATATTAAAATACGACTACTGAAAAAGTAATTAGGCTAGGAATGGTTGAGTGAAGTTAGCAGAGTCACTTAATCCCTCCCCCCCCCCTCCAAATTTAATAATGCACTTAAGACTCTTGAGCAGGCGTCTCTGGGTGCCATGCCATGCCACCATCAGGTGACCCGTATGCTGGTATACCCACTATCTCATTAAAATGTTCAGGCTTACCAGAATCGAGGAATATAGCTCCAGCGACCGACTCGAACAGATCACCTAACGCTTTGGGTACTTCTACGTCTTCAGCCTGTTCCATTGCGTCTTCTTGGATCAAATAGTGCTGCGGACAATGGAAACCAATACAGCACTATTATTTACTTAAATAATATACTATCATGAAAAAAAATTGGGAAATGATATTAGACACATTCCGAAACTTCTCTAACATCATTTCCCCATGTTGTTGCAGGTGTGTCTGAGCATAGATAGTCGCTTAACATCAAGTGACCTGTATTTTCGTTTGTCCCTATTCCATAAAAGCCTCCAACACAAACGGCAAGAGAATTATAATTGCGTGATGCAAGATAAGAAGTTACTCCGTAGTTCGGTGTGTCTGCGTTAGATGGCGCTGTAGTGTGTTTCTGTTTCGTCGCCACAAGGGCTCTATGGCCCTCCAAGTTCTAAGTGCTGGTAACTTTTAAACATACCTCTTCGCTTATGGAGTGACCATTCTCTTCTTGGATTTTGACATACTTCGTGAGCACCTCGTTCAATCCTGGTGACATGTGTCTGAAGTATCTGTGGAGTAAAAAAAGAAATGAGTTATCGCGGCCATCGCAAGACGTCTAAGAAACGTAGAAATAATGAGTTTAAAATCACTGATAAAAAATCCGCGTTGGAGAGTCGCAGAGTCACTTGCTCATGGCGACGTGTCGCCACACCGGCTTACATGTTACATATACTATACAAATATAGCGTAAGTGTATATTTGATGTGATATATTACATCTAATGAGTAGGGTCAGCATGCGTCGCCATGGCCACAGCCGGTATCAAGTGTTTTAATTTTCATAATTGATTTATTTGCTGAATACTACAAAAACTCTTACAATATAATTATTATATTGTCACTACATGTTTTAAGCAAAGTCTGTCTGTCCGCTATAAATTAAAAAACTACTGAACAGACTTAAATGTTGTGTGTGTATGTCAGAGCGATTCAAGGAAGGTTTAGATGCACAAAGTGAATGAATGAAGTGAAGTTTTATGAAGACTCATTGAAATATGAAGATATATATATATATATATATATATATATATATATATATATATATATACACAATGCCACGTTTTTTTTGTATATTTTTTAATTTATGTTGTACATTTTTTAATTTGTTTAAATTAAAAAATATTATTATTGTATTATAATTGATAATATATTTAATTTAAATGTATTATAAGTTAAAACAATTAAATATTAAAGATAAAATTTTAAATACATGAAGCGTTTACAACTATTTTTGAAAAGTTGTCAACTCCCGGAGTCTTTTCTTACTGTCTCTCTTTAATCGAATGCAAAAATGGCGTCGCTTACAACTGCGTGAGAGTTGTGGGTTCGATCCCAACATGGGACAACACTTTGTGTGACCCACAAATTGTTGTTATGAGTCTGCGTGTTCTTTGTGTCCGTTTCATGTATGTTTGTAAAGTCCCACGCGACACAGGATATATTCCTAGTGCGAGAATTGTCTTTTGACAAAAAAAACTCACTTATGGAACCCATGTCTAGCAGCCAGAGTAGCAAATATGGTGTTGTTGACGAGAGCTGAACGTAGATCTGTGAGGGCACCGGGGGAGTGTCTTCTTGGGTCCTCGTACAAATGTCGGGTTATAAGGTAATCTGTAAACATATACATAAAATAAATAATAATAACACCACATCTATATAGATATATATATGTTAAGTTGGTTTGTGTACGCTTCAAAAACTCCTGCACCGATTGAACTTAAATTTTGAGTTCGCGATGGGGTACGCGAGGGAGGGAGGGACGAAAACCGATGTTAAACAATTCTTCCCTTGTTTTTCACAGAGTGAGTGCGGTTAGTGCATTTCTCTTTTACCGTTACCACTTTTTACCGCTACCATAGAAAAAAAACAAAGGCACTCTGAAAGTGCCGACAGAAGTGAAAACTGATAAGGAGGTGTCGGTAACGGTAACAGTATCGCGAGTTTAATTGTTTTTCCGTCTCAAAAAAATGAGTTTTTTTGTTAAAAAATACATTCTTTTATTTGTTGTTCATAAATGCATACACACAATATATGTTTATATTATATATAGTTATATTACCAATGTATTTTAATCCAAACTCAACTCTCGTGTAAACGGGGCCAATATATGTAGATACTTATATACAGGTTTTTTTCCCATGTCAAAAAATGAGTTTTTTGGTAAACCAAAAAATACATTCTTGTGTTTTTTGTTCAAAAACGCCCAACAAGGTTTTTACTTCAAAATACCTCCGAGCCGTTATTATTACTGCTTACGTCTCCTTTTAAGGTTGGGTACCGACACCCCAGGGACTTCCTTTCTAGGGTATACCTGGTTCCCCGGCTATTAGTACCCGAGACGGCGTGCGGTTTTAGTCGGTTCGAGTCCGACATGCCACCGACAGGTTGTATCAAAAACAATGGTTTTTTCCCATCTCAAAAAATACATTATCTTATTTGTTGTTCAAAAATGCCCACCGCGCCTTAAGAAGTTTTCACTTCAAAAACAAATAAGAAAGCATAAAACCCAACCGGCTCAAATAACTCACCAAGTATAGCGTCTCCGAGGAACTCCAGCCGCTGGTAGCAGTCTGTGAGACGATTGCTGTGATGCGAGGCGTGGGTCAGAGCTTGCAGGAGCAGCGAGCGGTCCTTGAACCGGTACTGGAGAGTGCGTTCTAATGCGTCGTAACCTGTTCAACAATATTTAATTCATTCATCATCATCATCATGAGCCTTTGATAGTCCACTACTGGACAAGCCTGGCCTGGCCTGCTATACCATACTGGCCAGATGGGTTTGTTCCAATTTTTTCTTCTCTTTGTAGTGCTGTTGTCCTGTGTAGTTTGCTCTCTTAGTCGGCTCTTACGACACCCACGGGATGAATAGAAGTGGTGATACTACGATCATTGATCTGTCACCACTCGGACCAAGTAACTAGAAAGCTAACTAACTGCTAGCTAGGAATAGACTATCCATTCCATACGCCCACTTCTATAGCTTCTGTACACGAGGATCAACAGCAGTGTTTAATATGAATGCAAAACCAAATAGATCAATTGATTGATTTTAATTAAAAAATTGTAGATCCTCAATAGATGGCGTTGTACTGGCTTTCTAAATCGAGGCATACGGCATGTGTGCGCGGTACTGGCAATCTAAACAGTTGTTTTATTTCTAAACACCTGGTATTCACAACCAGTTGAGTTCAACAGTTCAAAATACCAAAGTCGGTATTTAACAAGCAGTGACCCACAAACATATCGAGTTATGACATTTGGGAAGTCCCAGGTAAGTGAAACTGTCTTGGAACCCGTAACGAAATTAATATGAAGTAAATTGGCGGATTTGGAAATATATTAAATCTAACTAATTGTGTAAACAAATGTTGTAGGTCAATATTATTCTACTTCTTTTTTTATGGTAACGGGGTGAAGAATCCCTTGGGAGTTTCAGCTGCTTAGGGACCTAGGAGCCAGATATATGCTGTGTTTGGAACTAAAAACCACCCCTACGGCCGGGCTCTGTTGCCTCAGTTGCTCAACTCTTGGAAGGACCCAGACCATGTGATTTCAGGTCCCCCCTAATCGACAAAGATTTATAATAAAATTCATACCAGACAGCATTTGTTCCAGCTCCCCTTCAGGATCTTCTATGTACCTCAGCAATGGCGAAGGAGGCGCTTTCAACTCACCAAATATTGGCTGTAAGGAATTAAAATCTGTAGTTCATAATTTTTTCAAAACAGTTGTTAAACAATTGTTTTTGTTGCTTTCTACCGAGTGAGTGAGATTTCCGGAGTTTAAACTCCCCCTCCAATTGATTATTCTGGAAAGGGGGAGAAACATCGACAACGCGTCTCGAATTGCAGGTGTCCAGCTGCGGCGGTAACCACTTACCATCGGGTGATATTTAGACATTACAACAAAAAAAGAATCATCCAAATAGGTTCAGGCGTCTTCGAGTGACCGATGAACGAATTGAGAACCTCCTCCTTGAAGTCGGTTAAAACAGCATTTAATGCAAGAAAAGTCAGAATGAAAAGGATGGAAGGAATATAGAGGAAATGAATGAATGAATGAAAAATGGAAGGACTATATAATTTTTTTGAAGTAAAACATCTTTACGCACGCTTGACTTGGGGAGTAAGCTGGTGAATGCGTAACGAGAGCGTTACGGAAAGTGTGATCGGTGTGAAGCGTATAAGTTAGTGAAGATAGAAAGAGAGAGAGTTACGTTTCGTATATTCCTGTTGGGGCAAGAGAGCTGCGAGCACACATTTTCTTTCTCCCTTTCTCTCATTTCTTTAAAGAAGTTTTACTTTAGTCGTATGGTCTAAAGCAAACTTTTTTTTAAGGTCACACGGCGGTTGGGACCAAATCCCAAACTAAGGTAACCAATCTCCTCATAAACATACTTATATATTATTAAGAATACCTGCATCCAGACTCCATTCTCATCAAGGTATGGTTGCAAAGATCCTACAGCTCTGCCGCTCCAGGACCAGTCTGTTTCGGGGAACACCTCCTGCTGCTGCAAGGGTTCTTCATCATCAGTGGAGCACTCAGATGATGAGGAGTTGGTTCGCTGGCGTTTTGGTGAAGGGGGCGGTGGCGGATGCTGTAAATTTAACCAGGCTTTGTAGTTAAACTGTGTGTTGGTCCAGAGGTTATTGATTCTGACTGCCAAGTCAGAGATCGCGCGTTCGATTCTCATCTGGGGCAAATATAAACATATTATATATTACTAAGTACATACATGTTATAGATAAATTACACCCAGACACAGAACCAATTATTTGACTATACGGATGGCACCTCGCCACTTTCCACTGCGCGTGTGACCCATAAATTGTTGTTCTGAGTCTGGGTGTTATTTGTGTCCGTTTCATGTATGTTTGTAAAGTCTCCCGCGACACAGGATATATTCGTAGTTCGATAGTGGTTTTTTTAAATAGAAACAAAACAAATTATTTGTAATGGGTGGGAATCGAAAGTGCGTCATTTGGCTCAGCAGCCAATACCAATGAACCAACAAAAGATTTAGCCGTCACGATAAGTCTTACCTTAGGAGTTTCATCAGCATTCCTGGCAGCTACCACGTAGGGATGGTCGTCTCCGACGGCCACGTGGTGACAGGGGAGGACCTTGATGCCGAGCCAGGACATAAACAGGAGAGCACCTCGAGGACCACACTCCAGGAGGTAAGCACCTATCAATGCTTCCACGCAGTCGGCGATTGATTTGTCTGTGGGCAGACGTTAGTTAAATAAATAGATCTCTTTATTGTACAAAAACAAACTCACAATAATAATAGAAACTCTATTATTATTGTGAGTTTTTTTTTCATCATCATCAACAGCCTTTAATAGTCCACTGCTGGACATAGGTCTCTCCTTAGAAAGGTCACAAGTGCGTTGCCGCCCTTGGAGTCTGTCCCGTTGAATCAGCGGAAGGGGGGATTATCTTACACACAACGTCATCTAGTTTCAAACTAAGCAGAACTTGTACCGTGAAAGCTAGATGAATACTTATTTACTTTTTTTTTAAATACATAAATATAAAAAATACATATATACATATACATAGAATACACCGTAGTTACTAAACTAGTTAATTATATTTTATAATTCAAACCTGGTATGCTGTGCTGTGTAATCAAGTTGTAGGGGATGAAGCATCCAGCGGCATCCAACGGCATCTCAGGGTTGAGCATATCGAGGTTAGCTTCGCCCTATTATCAGAACAATATCATTAAACATTCACACATCTTACACACGGCAGTCTTGATCTCGAACTAGGCAGAGCCTGGACTATGGTAACCAGACTGCTGATAAACATACTTATATATTTCTAAATAAATAAATATTTCGGACATATGACACACAACGCCATCTAGTTTCAAACTGAATAGAGCTTGTTCTATGAAAGCTAGATTGACTGATACAATACTTTTATACTTTTTTTTGTAACTACATATATTTTATATATAGAAAACACCCAAACTCCGAAACAAATATTTGCAGATCATACAAACATTTGGTCCAACCTCAGCACAGCAGTCGCATACGGTACACACCACATACATGTTAAACATAAATTACACCCAGACACAGAACACATGACCATACTCATCACGCAAATATATTTCCTGGTTGGGAATCGAACCCACGACCTCTGGCTTAAGTCAGAAAAACAAACTTGCGAAAAAAAAACAATCGAATGGAGAACCTTCCCTTTTTAACCGACTTCAAAAAAGGAGGAGATTCTCAATTCGACTGTATTTTTTTTTTATGTTTGTTACCTCATAACTTTCGACTGGGTGAACCGATTTTGATGATTCTTTTTTTATTGGAAAGCTGGCGCTTCCCGTGTCCCATTTGGTCTAGTTCTGACCATGGAATCCATGAGAAAACCATTAAAGTCGGTTTTTTGTTAAAATTTTACTTGTTCAAGATAAGAGTTAATGAAAATTCAGTTTTTTTTTTCTTTACTCGACATATTCGTCAAACGCGGGTGTGGCTAACTGAGATAAACGGAATTGATCTGTCCGTTATAACTAATTGGTACCGAGTTAACGTTGTATTTAACGTTCGATTTTTGTACGTAGTATTCATATTTTTTTCTGTAGTCGCTTATAAAGCATACCATAATACATTCTATAGTAGGCATGGAACATGGAACATGAACATTATTCGATTTTTTAGTACGTAGGTAAGGGTCACTACTTATTCACGCGTTGTTGCCAATAACCTGTTTTCAAACGATGCATAAATACCCCATTTCGCCTATTTAACAGTAAAACTAGTAATTATTTTATTATATATAGCTACCGTGTGGTGACGGATTAAGAATACAAATTGTCACCACCCCAATTCATCCCGTGGTTGTCGTAAGAGCCTAAGGGAGCAAACTAAGCGGGACAACAACACTGCAAAGAGAAGGAAAACTTGACATAAACCCTATACCAACCCGTCTGGCCAGCGTGGTATAGTAGGCCAAAACCTCTTTTCTAAGGAGAGGCCTATGTCCAGCAGTAGACTAGTATAGGCTGTTGATGATGATTGATGATATAGCTACCATTCCCTACATAACAATTAAAAAAAAACTAGATTTACTGTTAAATAGCGTCTAACCTACGTACCTAGCAACCCTAATCTACGTACGCAAACATCTATATATATAAAAGAAAGTCGTGTTAGTTACACTATTTATAACTCAAGAACGGCTTTACCGATATGGCTGAAAATTGGTGAGGAGGTAGCTTAGAGCCAGGAGATGGACATAGGATACTATTTATTTCGTTTTTTTTTTGTATCGGCGTCGATCACCAGATGACAACGGTGGAACTGTCACAACAAAAGTGAAAAGAATGGATTTCGTTGTCGACAACAGTTGGATTGTTCCATATTCGCCACTTATTTCTAAAACGTTCAAGACACATTGCAACGTTGAGTATTGGTCGGAAGACCATCTGCGTTGTTTGTTTTTGCGCCTGATAAGAAAACAAAAAATGTCGTGTATCACAAGGTACTTATGTGAAGAGCAACCTATGTACTGAACTGCAGAAACAATAATAAATGATTAATGTACTACATTTTTTTTCTAAGAAATAAATTAACTTACTAAATTCGAAAATCGGCTTATTTATTGCCTTTAAGGCGGAACAGAGTTCGCCGGGTCAGCTAGTCGAATGATAAATCACAGTCCATTATATAGTATAGTCTATTAGTCATGTCTATTATATAGTATACATACATTGGCGTTGGCATGTAATGTCGGGGGTGGTTTATGGCAGGGCGGTAACCAGTTGTCGTGGGGTTCGAACTTGGACGCGATCATCCTTGCGCCGAGCCTCTTGTTGCGACCCAAACGGTACAGGTTCAAGTTTGATACCTGGAAAGGGTAATAATATTACACACAACTAGATTTTTGCCGCACTCCACTCGCGGACACCTTAATAAATATTATTTAGTATTATACAGCTAGTCGGGGTGTCAGGGGTTCAAAAAATATGTTTATTCGATTCTGGATGGAATTTAATAAAATCTGGCGGCAACTGAATGTCAATATTAACGATGGAAAACTATTTCTTCACTCATTTTTATTATCTTTTAGTTATTCTCCTTTTACAACTTTACCGCATGTTTTCGGTAGGAAAATTTTTAATCAACTCTTTAAAATACTGAATACCTACGTAAAATTGACAGCTGAACAACTTTTGTATTTAAATTGTTTCGCTACAATGCTTTATTGTAGAAATATTACGAGATTACTGAAAAAAAAACCGTTTTTAAAGTAATTTTTCAAAAAAAAAAATCTTCCCGACCTCGTTCGTTCTTACCTTTTTAATGGGTTATGACCTTCAGTTGACGCTAGATTTCATTAAATTCCATCCAGAAACGTAATGAAAACCTTTAATACCCTACTGAGCGCAAGAAGTACAATTCTCGTAATAAAAATTCAGTTTCTATCTTCTCTCGTACCAAAAATTTCATCCATGTATACATAGATATGTTAGGATTCATGAACTATATCAAACGATTATTAGTATAAATATATTTTTAAAAATCGATTTGATTCTTTTTACTGGCAACACTCGTGTTTCACTTTTTTGGGAGCTGGTAAGTACGCACCTAATGTTGTCCTTGAATGGGAGAATGGATTTTTTTTTCTTTGTTTGATTTTAAGAAGACAACTCCCGCATGTATGAATGTACCCTGAGTCGCGGGCGACTTTATGAACCTTCATGAAACGGACACAAAGAACACCCAGACTCAGAACAACAATTTGTAGATCACACAAAGTGTCGTCCCATGTGGGGATCGGACCCACAACACTCAGCGTAGTAGGAAGCGGCGTGGCGACAACTTAAACCACTACGCCATCCGTGCAGTCAAGAATAAAACATTCATTGTTCTAATTGATTAATTTGTTCTATAAATATGCAGGATTCCAAGTAACTATGTAATGATTATTATATGTAATAATGTAGCCATTGTTTAGACTATAAAATATTATCCTCGAGGTTAATTTTTATATAGATAGATAATCCTAGCGTATTATTGTGTTTTATTACAGATAGATTACCTGTTTGCTTCTCATGTGGCTCAGCTTCCCTTCGTGGACCGTGGGATGAGCGCAGTACAGATACGCTGTGATGGCGAACTTGAGGAAGCTGTCTCCGATGGTCTCGAGACGTTCTAGGTTGATACCATCGTTTGCATTTGACATCGTCAGAGCCTGTAAAAAAACAAAACAGTTTTAGGACTCAGCGACATAGTCATAATCTACACATTTACAATTACTTTCCCCCAACCGACTGATTCATCAACGCAAAACCTAACCTGGAACTACAAATTTAAATTATTGGCATCTGATGTTTTTTATAAGCACCCACAAAGAAAGGATCTTTGGGAATTCGTCACGTTGTTCAAAGTTAGAAATACGAAAGAAAAAATAATGACCATAATTAAAAGCCCCCCCCCCCCCCCCAAGGTGAGCTGCCTCCCTGAGCGCTCCCATAGAACTGTCTTCCAGAAGAAACGATAACACATCATCTAGCTACGTACCTGCAAAATAACACTCGGACTAGGCCCAGGATGACCTTCCAACTTCGGTTGGTAGTCAAAATCAAACTCCTGCGCACTCTGCTTCCCTACAGCGTAATACGGCTGGAACTCTTGCTTTCTCCTGCAAGTCTCTTCGTAAATATCTTTTTTATCGAAGCCCACGTTCACTATCTTCTCGTTGACGTAATCTGGCGAGTCTATGTCGATGTCTTTCATGGAAAAGCAGTTAAATTTTTTGATTTCTTCTTTGGATACCGTTTTCTTGATACCTAGAAGTAAAAGAAGAACTACAATGACTGGCTTATTAGTTCGACCCTGACTATCCGTGTGATGACGGATTAAGAATCCGGAGTGTCATCACCCCTATTCATCCTGTTGGTGTCGTAAGAGCCGACTAAGGGAGCAAACTACGCAGGACAACAGCACTGCAAAGAGAAGGAAAACTTGACTATGACTATGAGAAGGAAAACTTGATCTATCAGTCAATCTAGCTTTCATAGTACAAGCTCTGTTTAGTTTGAAACTAGATGGCGTTGTGTGTCACAAATCATGAATATAAAATTTATCTGTAAAGACCTTTAATTGGCTAAATGTTTTATACGAGTATTATTGTCACTATCTCAATGTTAAAGCTGTTGGTTTTCCTTCAAATAAATAAATAAAATATTTGTTACCTTCTAGAATTATCCGTTTGTTCCTTTCAATACTTTCAACATTAACCTGGCCATTTCTGATCACCAGTTTCTCAGAACCGAAAGGGAATAACTCTGATATAGCCTTTTCCTGCGTCAGCATATTGACGAAATGCTGCTTGTCTTTGCTTTCTGGCAACACCTCTGTCAGAGGGTTGTCTTTGAAGACTAAATTCCCCTGGCTGACGATTTCTTGTTTGTGGCGGTTGACTGACGCTCGGAATTTATCGATGTACTGCAAATAGAAAATATATTCGATAATTAGGAACAGATCGTCGGTCATTGTCGTGTGTTGCGGGTTCGAATCCTGTTTAGTATTTATATATTTTTAAAATTAAGTTGAGAAAGTTGCTAGTGCTTTTATTTGATGAAAGAGTTCATGAAATATTTAACTAATGTATTTAATTATTTTTAAAATTTAACAAAATGTTTTATAATAATAATTTCTATGATAAATAATAATATTTTTTGACATTTTAATGATAATAGTTAATTATTAGTCTTTGAATTTTTTTTTTTAAAGACAACTCCCGCGGAGGACTTCACAAACAATCATGAAACGGACACAAAGAAAACCAAAACTCAGAACAACAATTTGTGGATCACACAAAGTGTTGTCCCATATGGAGATCGAACCCACAACACTCAGCGCAGTAAGAAGCGGCGAGGTGAACGTTTAAACCACTACACCATCCGTGCAGTCCCCCAGCGTACATACGAGGCCCCCACCACCTCGGCTGCAATCCTAATTCTGTTTCCCCTTCGAGACTTGTGGTATTGACCATAGCTCCTTCGCCTATACATTTTATTCACCCCAAAACCTTTTTCTCTTGTCCCGTATAAAAAGTATTCAATTCCCAAGACGTGCAATCAGGCAGGTCATAAAACCTTTCATGAAAATATTGCCCCAATAACATATTTAGAAACATTTCGTCCCAGATGTCGCCGCTCACCTCTTTAGGCGCGACTCCAGTTCTCAGCAACTTATCATGCTCCTCTCTGTCCAAAGCGTCATCTTCTTCATCAGGAGTCGGTGCTGGGTTAACCTTCTTGGTGCGTTCAAGATCTACAGCCTCGGCCTCGTGAGCTGTTTTGTATTCTATGCGGACTCCCATCGCCACTGTGGACAAGACAAGTCATGATATATGAATCTTATTACATAAGTATAAATCCTTTAAAAAACACCTAAACCGATTTAAAACAATACTAACAAAGAGATATAAAAACCCAACAGCAATCGCGGTTCATTTGCTGTAATTTTTGAAGAGTTCCCTTGTCTGTCTCCAAAACTCTTTATCAGTTGTATGAGAAATTCGAATAAGACTATTTTAGCATAAGCCTCTCCTTAGAAAGGAGGTTTTGGCCTACTATACCACGCTGGCCAAACGGGTTGCTACAGGGTTTGTGTCAAGTTTGCCTTCTCTTTGCAGTGCTGTTGTCCTGCGTAGTTTTCTTTAATAGTGTATTATATACTCACTGTTGGTATTCTTGTTGCAACAGAAACCTCCACTGTCGTCATCATCATCGCTGTCTTCGTAATCCAGGTCTGTGTCATCGGAGTCCAAGTCACTGAGGGTTATCAAAATATAGTGCAATTAGATTTTATTCACCCAAAGCCAAACATATTGTAATGTCTTGATGTGAAACATCGAATCAGTCAGACCAGGTGATGCCATGGCGACGTGTCGCCACGCTATGTGATAGTATGGGAACATGTAATGTGTCTCTACTTTTGTTATTGTGCTATATTTATTATTTCCTTTTATAAGTTATCCTTCTATTTTCATTACTAGCTTTTGCCCGCGGCTCCGCCTGCGTAAATATCAGTTATCGCGGTAAAAAGTAGACTATGTCTTTTGTCAAGAATCAAAGTATCTACAACAAAATTTCATATAAATCCGTTCAGCGGTTATTGATTTCCCATACAAACTTCGACCTACCTTTTCACCCCCTTAAAGGATGTTTTCTGCGATAAAAACAACCCTATGTCCTTTACTGGAACTCGAACGATCTCTGTACCAAACTTAATCTGAATCGGTTCAGCGGTTTAAGCGTGAAGAGGTAACAGACAGACAGACATACTTTCAAATTTATAATATTAAGTATGAATTTCTTCAAATTAATTTCGATGTTTCACATCTGTCAGACATCCCTATGCTCCCGTCCCGCGACTATACGAGTATTTTTATGGTACTCCGCCCCTCCCCTTAGAATTTTGTATTTTACACTTGTATCTCTTAAGTTGTATGTACACAGACGGTGGTAGTCACCATCAGGTGACTAGTCTGTTCGTTTTGGCCCTACAGTTATTTTTTTTATATATTTCACCCACCTACCTGGATATATACGAACAATCGCTGTCGACCATAGAGTATCTGTTGGGGTTGTAACTGCTGAACTTGGGTTTTTCGATGGGATCACACCAATTTGTTCCACCTGTAAACAATGTCGTTTATAGTCACTGCTATTCTCCTAAAGGTCATGGCGCGATGTAAATAAATAACCTATCTAGTACAAAAATATTTGGTTTTAATTTCAACTCGATATCTCCACGTGTTCCCAAAGTCTTGACAGACAGACAGGACGGACTGACAACAAAGTAATCCTATCAGGGCCATTTTTTCTTTTTAAGGTACGGAACCCTAAAAATATTAAAAGAAGACAAAATCCATCTCACCTGACGCAGAAGTACAGAAGGTTAAATTAGGCGGCAGTGGCTCCAAGAATTCGTCGTACTCCGACTCCTCAGGGATTTGAGAGGCCATGTCGTTACTCCAGGTGCCGATCTCAAAGCCCTGCAGCAGAAAAAAAGGTACCATAGCTTTTTTATACATTTAACTGTAACATATGATTAATTTTTTGAAGTGAAAACTTCTTTACGCGCGAGAATGTATTTTTTGAGATGGGAAAAAAACCATTGAACTCGCGACACTGTTACCGTTACCGACACCTGTATATAAAACATATGTTGAAGGCTGTTGATGTGAAGACTAGCAGAATACCGATTAAAATTTTTATGATTTAATTGCTCCCTGTCCTACTTCATACCTCAAAAGGGACCCTAAAATCGACTTCTGCGCAGGTGAAGATCAGCGCTCAAGATCGGTGCTGGTACCTATACATCGTATGTAACCGAAAATTAATATATATATATATACTTCACACATCTCACACACTTCTGTCTGATTCCAAACTAGGCAGAGCCTGTGCTATGGTGACCAGACTGCTGATAAACATACTTATATATTTTTAAATACATATTATAGACAAATTACACCCAGACACAGATAAAATGATCATGCTCATCACACAATATTTGTCCCGGGTGGGAATCGAACCCACGACCTTCGGCTTAGCGGTCAGGGGCACTAATCACTAGACCAACAGGCCGATTTTTTTTTAAATTGAATCGGTAATCTGCTAGTCTTAGTAATACTTTACTATTTAACTATTAAAATATCTTTGATGACAGTTGTGAGGTCAAAAGTTGATCGGAACTGAATTGAGACCCAACTTTTATTACGAGAGTTGACTTTGTTTGCACCAATGTCATAAACAAACAAAACATTAAACAATACCAACCCCTTCGGCGTCCTCTTTCTCTTGTAATATATCATTTATAGTCTTCTCTCTTGGCTCATCTTCCATATCATCGTTCTTCTTCTCATTCTCTTTTTCTTGTTTCTCCTTCTCTAATCTCTCTTTCTCTTCTCTGTAAAAGAAATACACATTCAAAATGTAATTACAGATACTTTTACTACAAAGACTTTAGCTGAGGGAGAGTTATGCTTCAGCATATTTGTGCTGGCTCAAGTAGGTGAGGTTAGTTGAGGTAAGTAAGGAGTGAGTGGAGGCCAAACCTTCCTTCCCCGGAAAATTTGTGGGGTGGAGGAGATCCCACACTGGGCAGAGCCTTTACTATTGTAACCAGACTGCTAAACATACTTATAATGTATTTCTAAACACATACATATTATAGATGATTCATCATCAATAGCCTTTACTAGTCCACTGCTGGATATAGGCCTCTCCTTAGAAAAGAGGTTATGGCCTACTATACCACGATGGCCTGACGGGTTGGTATAGGGTTTGTGTCAAGTTTTCCTTCTCTTTGCATTGCTGTTGTCCTGCGTAGTTTGTTCCCTTAGTCGGCTCTAACGACACCCACGGGATGAATAGGGGTGATGACATTCCGTATTCTTAATCCGTCACTACACGGATAGATAGATGAATTAACACAGAACAAATGATCGTGTTCATCACACAATTATTTGTCCTGGGTGGGAATCGAACTCACGAACTCTGGCTTAGCAGTCAGTGTCACTAACTACTTGACCAACGGTCCCGTCAAGTCAACTGAACAACTTTTATACATCCTCAAGGACATAAGTGATGGACAACTAAAGATACTTCGACCTATACCTGAAACTACAATCCACATACCTTATCTCTTTCTCCTTCTGTTCTTTCTTTAACTCTTCTTCTTCTCTTTTCTTTTCGGTTCTCTCCGAATCTGCACTAAGCACCTGTAATAAATAAATAAGTTTTTATAACAGGTACGTTTCTTTTAGGTATAACGTGGCAAACAAGCATCTACGCGTAATCATCATTGTTGATTAATTATTGGATGAGGAAAATTATTTTATATCTGTTTTATATCTAGCTAGATGAACAGCTCTCAGCTTCTTGGGTTCTTGGGTCTTTCAAAAGGAATATTTTTTCCTAGTTTTTTTGCAACATTTTTTATTCATGTACGGCTCCTTTTAATCCTAGCGCGATGCTATGTTGATAAATTGGCTATAATTGGCTTTCTAACACTAAAAGATTTTGCAGTTCGAACCAGAAGTTCCTGCTGCGTCGTTGGTTCAGCTTTATATTTATTAGTCTAGATTTAAAACGAGGTTGTTAAACGACACAGGATATATTCCTAACGCGGGAGTTGTCATTTATAAAAGAGAAAGAGAATAAATACGTATATACAATAATAATATCTGAAGTGACGAGATCATGAGGATATTTCTGCTAGCTTTTTCTATTGGGACGACCGGATGGCGTAGTGGTTTGTATAACGGACTGCTATTCCAATGGTCGCGGGTTCGATTCCCGCTCAAGTCAAACATTTGTGTGCATGAACATTTAATGTTTGATTTGGTCTGGGTGTTTCTATGTATAATATGTATGTATTTACAAAATATCAGTTGTCTAGTACCCACAGTACAAGCTCTGCTTAGTTTGGGACTAGATGTCGTTGTGTGAATGTGTTAGAATATTATTATTATTATTGTTGTTGTTGAAGAGGCCAGTACTAACCTCAGCCAAGCTCCAGCCGAAATCAAGCGCTGGCCATTGGAAGCCAGGCATGGTTTTCTCGTTGATCTTCGGTATGCCCAGGCCCACGTCGATTGCTACCGCGCGTCGGATTTCATCCGCTATCAGGAGGGCATTAATTCTGTTAAAAAAAGGAGCGAACCTTATCATCTTTACAAATAAATAAAATTAAAGTGTCTGTTTGTAATGTCAAAATAATAAGTTTATTCATGCTCACACGGTTACTTGCTACGGCTAGACCAATTTTGATAATATTTTACTTCAAGCTGTCTACATACGGAGTAACTTAGGCTATTTTGCACCTCATAAAAACCCTATAAAAAAATTCTCGGTCCGGGAATCGATTCCGAAGCCTCATGGATTGCAGTCGCATACCGTACACCACTAATTGAGCACTTTAGAAATTCCACGTTGCGGCTACCAGCTACTTAAATAATATAATATTTAATGCATACCTGTACAAAACACACGGGAGAGCGACTGTAGCGAACCACAGCGGAGCAGCGAAGGGATGCACGCGGCACAGCTCGGGGACGAGGATCTGCTTCTGATCCAGCCGGTCGCGCTTGGCACGCCGGGTACGTTCCGAGGACACCGGTAAGGCCACGCCTTTGCGGTTCACGTACCTACAAAATCATCAGATTATAAATTATCAATAACGCGCCGTAGTGGTGTAGTGGTTTAAGCGGTCGTCTCGCCGCTTCTGACTGCGCTGAGTGTTTTGGGTTCGATCCCAACATGGGACAACACTTTGTGTGATCCACAAATTGTAGTTCTGAGTCTTTCTGTCTGTGAAATGCTCTCAAGCTTAAACTGCTGAACCAATTTAAATAAAATTTTGTATAAAGATAGTTCGGCTCCCGGGAAAGGACATAGGATAGTTTTTATCACAGAAATCATCCTATATGGTGGTGAAAAGGGGGATGGAAGTTTGTATGGGAAATCAACAACGGCTGCAGCGATTTAGATAAAATTGGTATTGAGATAGTTTGATTTTTAAGGAAAGACATAGACACAGGCGGAGCCAGGAGCAAAACTAATAAGAAATAATCGTATTTATACTACCGTGTTTAACACAAAAAGCTCTATAAGAATTATAGTGGAGCTACCTTGGCGTGAGAAGATTCAACCGGGCGCTGGTATGGTCCACATCCAGAAGAGGCTGGTCCCTTTGAGTAAGTGACACTCCGTACTTGCTGCTGTAGTATTCCCTGAAACTGGTGTGACTAGACGAGGGGAACGAGGAGTCTGGAGTCAAGTTCCAACATATCTCTGCTACCAGGAAGAACTGGAAAGTACACAGATTTCGGTTAACAAATATAGATCATCATCAACAGCTTTTACTAGTCCACTGCTGGACATAGGTCTCTCCTTAGAAAGGAAGTTTTGGTCTACTAAACCACGCTGGCCAGACGGGTTGGTATAGGGTTCGTGTCAAGTTTTCCTTAGCTTTGCAGTGCTGTTGTTCTGCATAGTTTGTTCCTTTAGTCGGCTCTTTTGAGGACTCCAGTCACGAGTACATTGCCATATCTGTTCTAAACAAAACAAAAAAACATATTGGAAGAAATAGGTACCGTTTCTGAGGACTAGAAAAAATAAAAGGCCAGTTTTTTAAATTTTCGTCCGCGGTATTTCCGGACCGATACGACCTTTCAACCTTCAAGAAAAGAGAGTACTCCATCCTCAAGGGCTGGCAACGTGCCTGTGGCTCCAGAGTTGCACTTTTCTACAGGTGACCCTTCTGCCCGTTTGCCCCCTCTTCCATAAAAAAAAGCACCTCGGGGAGCAAGTTCAGCCGTCGGTCCTGGTTGCCATACGGACATCTGTGGCAATATTTACGGGTCCGACAATAATCTATCTACAGAACTTCGATATCGCCTAGTACTTGGGTTGTGAAGGTCTGATAGCAGTCGCTCAGAGTACAAAATCTGACCTCGACTTAGTTTAAAGAAAGGCTCGGAGGACGAGTAGTAGAGTCTTAATCAGAAGACAAACTTACCTGGGGCTGATCTTGATTCCTGTACCAGGGAGTGACGACAGCCTCACTGTACTTCTCCGCATCGAAGATGAAGGTTTCGTCAGGCTTTAGAAGGGGATTGTTCAACTTCTTCACTTTGCCTCGTCTATCGCGGGATGGACCTCTTGCCTAAGGATACATAATACTCATCATCAGTTATATTCTCTTTCTGTCTCTCTATTTTGAGGGTCGGCACATTGCAAATGAATTTGGCCATTTTTTTTTATTGTTGGCTTTCTGCTAGAAGCCTTTAATAATAATAATAACCTCACACATCTCACATACAGCTGTCTGGTCCTACACTAAGCAGAGCCTGTACTATGGTAACATATATATTGTTCATCATGATCATAAGTCCACTGCTGGACATGGCCTCTCAGTTGAAAGGATGTTTTAGCCTACTATACCACGCTGGCCAGACGGGTTCGTATAGAATTTGTGTCAAGTTTTCCTTCTTTTTGCAGTGCTGTTGTCCTGTGTAGTTTGTTCCCTTAGTCGGCTCTTACGACACCCATGGGATGAACAAAGATGGTGACACTCCGTATTCTCAATCCGTCAGAAATATTGTCGCGACGCGGAAGTCGCTTAATAAAAGTAGGCGGTTATTTAAGAAAATTAGCGCAGTACTTATAAACACTTTCTTACAAACGATAATTAACTAAATAAATACTTGGTCGCACTAGAAGATCGCTTAGGTGTTAATAAGCTGCCTCGTTAAACAACACTCGCTATATAGGGCTACCAAAATAACTAGAATAATCCCAAATATTCGATAGAGCGTTCCAGATAGATCTATGTACAATAAGGAACTTCTAGAGTTCCTTTAGATCCTCCGTTACTTGTTACTAGATGGCGCTGTCCTCAAGATTTCATATGGCTTTCGATTGTTCGTTTAATCATATGTCGCAACAATATTAAAGACAAATTACACCCAGATACAGAACAAATGATTGTGCTAATCACACAGTTATTGTGTACTGGTTGGAAATCGAACCCACGACCTCCGGTTTAGCAGTCAGTGTCACTACTCCAATCTTATCTAAATAGATATCAATAATAGACCACAAACCTTGGTTACTTCTTCATCTTCATGACACTCCCAGAGCATGTTGCTGTCTAACTCTGATAGCTTCTTATCTTCTGTATGCTGATATATAAGTTCTAAGAACGCCCAGTCTATGTCTATCTTGGTAGAGCCGTCGGGTCGAGTAGCTAAAACCATAGACAAATCATGTTAATATTATAAAGGCAAAATTTAATGTGTGTTAATTGTATTCTTTTTTAAAAAGGTAACCGAAATTACTAGTATTCCCGTTAACCCCTCCCGCTAAGCTAAATTGCTTGTGTGTAGTGTACTGGTCAGGATTTACACCCACGACATCTTGATCGCAAGTCCAGTGCCTTTACCACTAGGCTACCGCCGTAGGTTGGTTACTTATTCACTCCCAACGGCTGAAGCAATTTTGATAAAATGCGAGATGGAGGTAGATTTATCAAGAAAATTGTAGTGTTCCGTGGAATGAGCAAGGAATTGAAATATCCATACTTATTTTATACGCTTTCACGCTTAAGCCACTCAACCGAATTTAAAAAAATCTTATACATATTTCAAAAATTCTTATAAAATAGTCTACTTTTTACATGCGGGCGTAAGTAAGCCGCAAGCATAAGCTAGTAGTTACAAAACCGCATTCTAAGTAACATAAAAAAATAAAAGTAGCGGCATCATCACAAATATGATTCTTTATATATTATGGTATATATGTATGTGTATATATATAACACAATATATATGAATATGAACGTATGTATTCTTGTATGTATACATTGGTATTTATATATTATTTCATTGCTTTTTGCCCAGTATTGCTATCATTACTTCTTTTATGTCCACTTTATAATTCTCAACCAAAGGGTAGTGCACCTCCACACTCATTTCCACACCACCCTAAGGTAGACTGGTAGAGAATGCCTATGGCATTAAGTCCGCCATTGTACTTATGTGCATAAAGATGATAAATAAATAAATAAAAGTACACAGAAGAGTTTTATCAAAATTGGTTCATCACTTTAGGAGTGCAAACTACCACACACAGACAGATGGATTTTTTAAATTATTGACTTACATTTAACAGTTGGTACAATATAATAATTGTTGTGCGTGGAGCCGTCGCTCTGTAATTTCATCCCTCGGCGACGAACCCTTAGAACTTCGGCGAACACGAAACGCATAAATCTGTAATAAAACACTCAATTTTTCACACAACGCCATCTAGTTTCAAACTAAGCAGAACTTGTACACTACAAGAAACCTAGATTGACTGATAGAATACTTATATACTTTTTTTTTGTAAATACATACATATTATATACAGAAAACATCCCAACTCCGAAACAAATTTTGCAGATAGTTTTGGGGAGATGGGGGGAGTAACTCATCCAACATTTTTTAGGTTATGTGGGTGTTGCTTATCCAATTAATTTTGGGGTGAGAGGGGAGGGGGGTACACACCCAATTAATTTTTTAGTTTTTAAGTTGTCAAAGAGTTTTATGCTTAAAAAATTTCGTTAAAATAGTAGGTTGAAGTAGTACTAACCTTCTGACGAGTCGACCTCTCCTGGGTGATAATCTGACGTCCGCATCAGGAACGTGTTCCACGGAAACCCTCACTTCTCCAGAACGAGTGTACACCGGGAAGGCTGGGATCTGCAGACTGGATACAAAATCCTTCAATGCGGTTAGTGATCTTCACTGAAAACCTAGAGGTAGTGGGTTCGATTCCCGTTCAGGTCAAATAATTTGTGATGATTATAACCATTACTTCTGTGTGTCTATGTATGTATTTTGTAATATATAAGTATGTTTATCAGCAGTCTGGTTACCATAGTACTGGCTCTGGCTAGATTGGGATCAGACAGCTGTATGTGAGACGTGTTAGGTTATTATTATTGAAGTGAACACTTCTTTGGGCGTGTTGGGCATTTTTGAACAAAAAACAAAATGATGTTCCAGTTCCAGAATGTTCTGATGGTTCCATTATTGATTATAACAGGTTTTTTTTTCGATTCGAAAAGTTCCGACATGAATATATATCTTTGTTGTACGTATATACGCTATATATGTTTATATTACATTCCGTGTGGTGACGGATTAAGAATACAGATTGTCACCACCGCTATTCATCCCGTGGGTGTTGTAAGAGTCAACTAAAGGAAAAAACTACGCAGAACAACAACACTGCAGAGAGAAGGAAAACTTGACACAAACCCTATACCAACCCGTCTGGCCAGCGTGGTATAGTAGGCCAAAACCTTCTTTTTAAGGAGAGGCTTATGTCCAGCAGTGGACTATTAAAGGCTGTTGATGAGATATAGTTATATTATTAATGTATTTCAACCCAAACTCGACTTTTGTGTGTGACATGGGGCCAATTTATGTAGATACTTATATATAGAGGTGTCGGTAACGGTAAAAGTGTCGAGAGTTTTTTACCATCTCAAAAAATACATTATTCTGTTATTCAAAAATGCCCAACGCGCATAAAGTTTTCACTTCAAAAAAAACAGTGGAAATCCGGGAGTGCCGACAGAAGTGAAAACTTATGTACTTAATAAACAGAGGTGTCGGTAACTGTAACAGTGTCGCGAGTTCAATTGTTTTTGCCAATCTCAAAAAATGGCCAAAGCGCTTAAAGAAGTGTCCACGTCGAACACAAAATAAGGTATGTGACGTGTGACTACCTGTCGGGCTCGTCCCTGGCCATGAGTATGCCGATGGCCTGCGCGGCGCTCTGCGGCGCGTGCAGGCGGCGCCCGCGCGTGTTGTAGCGCTCCGGCAGCGCGCACCACAGCGACGACACCACCGCGTACAGCATGTTGCGCTTTTTGCCTACACACATACACAAAAATAACAAATCATCGAATGAAATGATATATGATTTCTGCAAGGAAATCTTTTCTACGTCCGTTTGGTGACGGATTAAGAATACGGAGTGTCACCACCCCTATTCGTCCCGTCGGTGTCGTAAGAGCCGACCGAGGGAGCTAACGTAGGACAACCAACACTGCAAAGAGAAGGAAAACTTGACACAAACCCATACCGACCCGTCTGGCCAGCGTGGTATAGTAGGCCAAAACCTAATTTCTAAGGAGAGGCCTATGTCCAGCAGTGGACTATTTATTTATTTATTTATTTATTACAACTATGGAGGATTTACAGCTATGATGATTACAATAAAAACAGTCAAGAAAACAGATAGCCAATAACAAATCCTCACTTATATAAATCAGAGATAAGTTACAGTGCATAAGACAATACAGAATAGGATCAAGAGGTATTATATAAGTTACAGGCACAGATCACTCACAAATTACACAGAACGTAATAATATACACACAAAACAGACAGGACCCATAACAATAACTACTCAGACCCCCCACCATCACCCCTGAAGAATTTAAGGCTTAAACACCTCCTCGCTCCCGTTACACTAACATTAAAAATATCAATTCCAAATTGTTCACACACATTATTGAGGCTTCTAGTTGAACGAATAACAAAAGAATTTTTTCTATAGTTCGTCAGTGCAAATGGTACACTCAGCGGTGGGTTATAGCGAGTTCTTGACGGTATATTAATATTAAACTTAGATAAAAGTTCGCAGCAGTCAATTTCGTTACTAAAAATTTTTAATAATAGGGTACAATCAGCGATTTCACGACGCGTTGTAAGGGGTAGTAAATGGTACTTCTTGCAAAGGTCAAAGTAAATTTCCGAGTGATAAGGTACTTTCTGGTGAAAGCACAAATATTTTATGAACCTTCTCTGGATATTCTCAATTCGGTCCACATATTTTTGGTAGCAAGGATTCCAAACTTCACATGCATACTCTAAATGGCTTCTAACAAAGGTGCAATACAGAATTTTTAAAGTTTTTGCCTGTTTGAAGCCCCTAGACAGTCGCATTATGAATCCTAATGCTTTAGAAGCTCTGGCAACGATTGCATCTATGTGTTCTTCATAGATCAGCTTCGAGTCATGCGTGACACCCAGATCCCGGACGGAAGCACATCTAGGCAGCGAATCACCGTTTAACTTATAGGCTGTGGTTATAGCGGATCGCTTTCGCGAATATGTCACCACCGAGCATTTTGTAGCATTCAGATCTAGCTTGTTGTTTCGACAGTACTCCTCCAAACGAGTCAAATCAGCTTGAAGCGCGGTCATATCCTCAAGTGATGAGATCGCTGCGAAAATTTTCATATCGTCAGCAAAACATAGGAGTCTCGATGATCTAAAGCATAATTGTATGTCGTTCACGTATATCGTAAATAGAAGGGGTCCAAGCAAAGACCCCTGAGGACAGCCGCTGGAGATAGGCACCCAGCCAGAGATATAGTTATTGAGAACTACAGCTTGAGTTCTATTCTCCAAATACGAGGAAAACCACCGCAGCAAGTCACCATGGATACCCATGCCATTTAATTTTAATAGGAGGATATCATGATCTATACGGTCAAAGGCCTTGCTGTAATCAGTATAGACCACATCAACCTGCTTACCTTTGTCCATAGTGTCAGTGATAAAATCATTTAGTAAGGCAAGATTAGTGACAGTAGATCTGCCCTTTAAGAAACCGTGCTGCGAAGGACTGAAAGAATTTTTTAGGGCTGAGTATACCTGGTCATAGACTACTTTTTCAAAAACTTTAGCCACTATACAGAGTTTAGAGACAGGTCTATAGTTAGTGACTTCTGTTTTTGCACCCTTTTTGTGGATAGGTGTTATGAAAGATGATTTCCACACCTTTGGGACAGAACAAGAGGACAAGGAATTCTTAAAGATTATAGAAATAGGTTGGGCAAGAGATGATGCACAGTGCACAAGAAGTTTTGGAGATATGTTATCCGGTCCTGGGGCCTTGGATGTATCCAGCTTTCGAATTAAGTCACCAACGTAGTCAACGTTTATTGTGATTTTACATAGGTCGGAAGTAGAGAGAGAATACCTGGATTTACGACTGTTATCGACTGTATTTGAAGACTTTTTAAGAAAATTTGATTCAAAATAAGTAGAGAACGCGTCACATATTGATTCCCCTGTAAGCAAAGTATGATTATTGTACGTTAAGGAGCTAGGGATCGAGTTAGATTTGTGACGGTTTTTGACAAATGTCCAGAAGTGTTTCGGATTAATCTTGATTGATGCCTCAGTAAGCTCCAAATAGGACGTATAACATTCAGACTCCATCATTTTAACTCGCGCTCGGAGGAGTTTAAACGCCAATTCATCTGACTTATTTCCATACGTCTTGAACTTTTTAAGGTACTTGTATTTTTCTTTTATTGTTCTTATTAACGTGGGACTGTACCATATCGGATAAGACTTATCATTAATGTATTTTTTTGGTATATATTTTTGTTGCAGATCAAGTATAATTTGGTTGAGATGATCAACAGATTCGTCAACTGAGCGCATTGAGAACTCCGTGTCCCAATCAATGGAGTCTATATTGCTGTTAATGGCGTTATAGTCTCCCTTGTCATATGAGTAACGGGTACGCGGCGCATACCGTAAAGTTGTGGTTTCTGCGAAATTTATATTAATTAATAGTGCAGGGTGGTAATCATCAATAGGCACTAAGGGGTCCAAGCACTCAGTTATGTTTATATAATTATTGCAAAAAGCCAGATCCGAGAGTCTTACCGTACTTATTGACAGTGGCGTTACATTGTTCAAAATTTAAAGCAAACAGCTCATCAATCAATGAGTATTCATCGTATGTACTAAGGTTGGTAGGAACAAGACACTGATCAGTTGAAGGCTGCCAGTTTATTCCACTCATATTAAAATCACCCACAATAAGAAATGTATCCGACATATTGTTGACCACGGTGCGATTCAATTCGAAAAGAAAGTTAGCAAGTTGTGATGAAAATGAATATCCAAGGTTCTGTTTGCACAAGTAAATTACACAGAGGTAAAGATCAAAACAGACATGAGTGTCAGATCTTTTTAAGCGTATCCTTATCCATAGATCTTCCGCTGTAGAGTGAAAACTAGGTTGAGACATCGCTAGCATTTCCCTACGAACAGCAATCAGGACACCTCCACCTCTTGTCTGACCCGTGGTAACATATTCACGATCGCGACGCCACACAACATACCGATTGTCAAAGAGCTCCGAGTCTGTTATACCATCCAGCAGCCATGTCTCTGTGAGCATAATAACATCAAATGATGTACATAGCAGTTGACGATAGAATATATCAGTTTTCGTTCGAAGCCCACGCACGTTTTGATAATAGATTGTCAAAGTTTTATTTACATTACTAGTCATTAAGAATTAAAACAATAATAGAATATATATCAATGTAGAATAAGGCAAAAGGATACTTGAGTAAGATTGACTCAGTGAGATTAAATGTTAGTGGGAATTGGCAAGGAAGGCGATGCCCGTATGAGTCTGCGTTTAAGCAACATGCTGACACACCGTGTGTGCTATTCGGTGAACCGTAGTATATCAGTGCACAAACTAGCAAAAGAGCGAGCGGTATACAAGTAAAAACAAACATAGCAAAATACTTAAGTAATAGGTAGAAAAGGTAATGGTGAGGACCCAGGTCAGTCGATGAGGCCGAGATGACAGACATTTTATGGTAGATCGCTGAGCTATTGTAGACCAAACATACTATACTATTCAATTTAAACATATATACAAGCAAAGAAAAGTAGTTATAAAAAACAATACAGCTAAATTCAAAACAAAAACAACTTATGCGATCTTGTTTAAATCAGAGTCCTTTCTTATGATTATAACTTTAGAAGTTTGATTTTTAAGCAAATGTATTTTACCGTGTTTAACCCACACATACTGATAGTTTTTCTCTTTAGCAGTGACTTTGACAGTGCTAAGTAGCCTCTTATGCTCAACGCTCAGATGGTCGTTCACGTACACACGCTGAGAGGTCCCATGAAATCCAATATCCGAGGTTGACAACTCCTTGTCGGCCCGGGCAGCCGATATAAAATCTTCTTTAACATATCTGTTTAAGAAGCTAACAATTATAAGTTTTTCATTGGAGTTATAAATAGGCACCCTAGAAATAAAATTGATCTGATTTTTCTGGCAGGTATACTTGATTTTGCGGCCGATAGCATCCAGGATTGTAAACAGATTCTCGCCTTTTTTAGTGGGAACTCCCTTGATCTCGACATTGTTCAAGCGGGACCGTTGTTCAAGCGCTGTAAGCTGATAATTCGCCCTGTCAAGATTAATCTGCAGGTCGTTAGCTTTATTTTGAAGCTTTTCCAGTTCGGTCACCCTTGTCTCCAACTCAGACAATCTGGAACCATAATCCTCAAGCTTGCGAACTGAACATTCGCATGTTGCCTTAACCTGGGATAATTCATTTTTTATGATGTGGATATCCTCGACCAGTGACGGCAGTCCAATCAGTTGACGTTTCAGGTCCCTGATTTCAGACAGTACCGTTTCCATAGAGACTGGTTCAGGTGAGGTGATAGCTGGTGATGATATTCTACAGGTAGGACATTTCCACTGCGCTCTTCGATCAACTCCCAGCTTTTTCCAACCACCCTCAGAGATTCTCGCACATCCGAAGTCCAGGTGTTTGTTGCAACACGCACATTGCACACCATCGCTAAAATTAATGTTACAAACTGCACAGGTCTTCATCGTACTGCAGTATGTTCGTTATAGTAGGTAAAAAGATTGGTCAAAAAGAAATCACAAAAAAGGAAAAACAAATCCAAAAAGTCGAATCCACCCAGCCCCGATCCGACGACTTTTGGTAACCGCTGTGTCCCCGACGCCTCAGCGCCACAGTGATGACAACCGTTAACTCGAATTAAAAGATTATACTGTTAAGCGAGTGGTGCTCTCTTGATAGACACTAATGAGTTCAAAGTCCGGTCTATTATGTTTTGGTTAACACCGCTGCGATCTTTTGAATTTTAACAGTTTATTTTCAACACTTTTTGACGATTAAACACTTCAAATCACAACCGATTGAAATTATTTATATGCAGATCGAACAGGTGCAGGTTGCTAGATGTTCCGGTATATATTTGAAGCTACAATGTTAACTTTTTCACCACTTTTACAATATTAGTTGAAAGATCAACAGATAACACTTCTGTCTTGCACACTTGCGAAAAGGGTACTATTAAAGGCATGTGATGTGATGTGAAATCTTTTCAGATAATTTTACAAGTCGGACTTTACAGCTAGAAGGCGCCAGCATTTACTAAGACTCTGGGAAAAAACGCCGAAACAAAGCACAGAGTTTTTTTATTTTTCGGTCCGTGTACAATGTGTGTGTAAGTACAGTATAGGGTCTGTGTTGCCCTTGGCCGAAAATTGCTTTATAAAAATACATATAAGAAGGTTCTCTCACAGCTCGTACATATCAATACATTTTTTTGTTATGTTAGAGGGGGCAGACTAGCAGGCGGGTCAATAAATACAATATATTAAGTGTATATTATCCGTGTGGTGACGGATTAAGAATACGAAGTGTCACCACCCTTATTCATCCCGTGGGTGTTGTAAGAGCCGACTAAAGGAGCAAACTACGCAGGACAACAGCATTGCAAGAGAAGGAAAACTTGAGACAAACCCAATACCAACCCATTTGGCCAATGTGGTATAGTTGGCAAAAACCTCCTTTCTCAGGAGAGACCAGGTCGGCTAGTTATTAATTACTTACCTGTTGGTTTTTCAGGCGAGGGCTCTACTGTCTCCGGTTGAGTTCTTGAAGCATCTACTTCTGAATCGCTCGTATCTACAACTGGTTGGCAATCAGTAAACGCCCAAGCGGTCTGAAAAAAGAAATTTCTTGTACTCAAAAACCGCTGTTTAAGAGGTATTAGAAAGAGATGCTGGCTACGCTTGATGGGAGATAATGCTTAGTATCTCACCAGCCTTGGTGTAATACACACGTGTATTGTTAGTCCTCAATACTTTTGAAATATTTTTTATTATTTTCAATTTAAAATACTATCAAAATAGAGCTGTTTTTGAATGACTGTAGCGAAAATAATTAATTCAGATATCATTTGGAGATAGTTTTTTTTTTGCTTAAAAGAATCAGTGTCTTTTTTAAACCCCCGATAAAGTTAAAACAAAATGTGATGATCATCAGTAGGAAAAATCATCAATAGGACAGGAAGAAAAATCAGGATGTCCACAAACCGCTTCGCATTTCAAAATAATGTACATAATAACCTCCTCGACAAGATGGCGGAAGTACCTTAACCAATAGTACACCTCCTTAAATTCCAGTATTCACAATATGTGTTTATATGTATATTTATTTCTATATTTATATGTAATTCTATATAGTATAATTTAATTGTATAATATTTGTAAATTTTGCTTGGTTTTATATAAAAATATATATTTTTATAATCAGTGATTACAATTGTAACCTTGGTGCAACTACCCTACAAGACTTCTACACCACCTAAAATTTGGCTGATAGAGAATGCCCAGGGCATTAAGTCCGCGGATGTACATAAGTGCATAAAGATGTAAAATAAAAATAAATAAATAAAACTTTTAAAGGAAAAGTTTTTCTATTTTAAAAAGACAACTCCTGCATTCGGAACATATCATAAAACATGATTACCGCCATGGTACGAAGCGAGAGTTCGTTCAACTCCGCCGTCTCCTTCTGCGAGCAACTTATGCTCGCGAAGGAGACGGCGGAGTGGGACCTGGAGAGGTTAAGACTCTCCCGGCCCGCCAGGCCCGGGAACGGGCCAGGTACCGCAGGCGACTCAGGCGCCGGAGGTCGCAGAACGACCTCCGACCTCCATAAGCGCAGGCCTGGGGGTGACAGGTGAGGCCATCTGTCACCCTAGCAGAAGCAGGCCGGGGTGGTGGCGAGCGCGTTGCGAAGCGCGCTCGCTTCCAGGGAGCAGAGGGAACACGGGGGGAGGGGGGGTCGTCTACTCGTCTGTAGATGGCCCGAGGTATGTGGTGCCCGGGCACCAGGGATTTCCTTCCTAGGGTACACCTGGCTCCCCGGCAACTAGTACCCGAGACGGCGTGCGGTTTTTGGTCGGTTCGAGACCGACATAACTACCGGTAGGTGGTATCCGAGGGGATTTCCACACCGACATTACTAATCTAAACTTATAATGATCCATACCCGCTTATAATAATACTGGCGTCGTTTTGTAGTCCCCGGGCGTGCGCTATCATTGTTGTCGATTGCATCGTTATTATTGGTATAGACGATTGTGTTGGATGCCTCTAACTCTGCAGCCTTGAAGTTTTCCTTACCTGGTGATTAAAAAAAATATACGCGTGCTTTGTTTTGCTTGCTCAATAACAACTCCATATTTCTGGGTATAAGGTACACTATTTCCCTCTCTGTGTACCTGACAATATGTATGATAATTTATTTAAGGAGTTGGAGCAACAGAGAGTAACTCCAAACTCGGCAGAGCCTGTACTATGGTAACTGGAATACTTAAATAAAGGAAACATACTTATATGTTTCTAAATACATATTATAGATAAACAATAGGATCAGATGAGCTTAAATCCGTGTGGTAAGGTGGATTAAGAACACGAAGTGTCTCCACCCCTATTCATCCCTTGGGTGTCGTAAGACCCGACTAAGGGAACAAACTACGCAGGACAACAGCACTGCAGAGAGAAGGAAAACTTGACACAAACCCTATACCAACCCGTATGGCCAGCGTGGTATAGTAGTCCAAAGTCTACATTCTAAGGAGAGGCCCATGTCCAGCAGTAGGCTATTGAATGCTGTTTATGTGATGTAAGCTTACCAATAGGCATCAACTGGTTATCCAATTCTCCAGACTTGTGGAGTATCCTGCAGGCTTGTAGGGCGACCATCCGTCTCGCGAGCACTCGGGTTGGCATCGGATGACCCTGTAAGGAAACCATACATCAGCATCGTCTTCCTGTCTTTTTATTTTCTTTTAAAAAAGACTTCTGCACTAGTCTGACACAAAGAACACCCAGACTCAGAATAACAATTTGTGGATCTCACAAAGTGTTGTCCAATGTGGGGATCGAAGCTACAACACTCAGTAGGTGACCGCTTAAACAACTACGCCATTCGTGCAGTCGATATCGAATTCTTGAACGGCACAAAGTGTAAATATTGAAGAATTTTGACTGGATTATTCTATGATCAGCATCCTGGCTCCAACCCTCACACTCACGGGCACTCCGTTCACCTCACGGTATTTTTTTGGTGTAGGCCAACGATCAGACGAAGACATAGGCCTCTCCTTAGAAAGAATCTAAGGAGAGGCCTATGTCTAGCAGTGGACTATTAAAGGCTGTTGTTGATGATGATGGCTCTCCAACGGTTATCTCACTCAGTGGTACAGAAAAAGAAAGAGATGCAATACTCACAACAATATTATATTTGACGGGACAATTGAGAGGCAGTCTCAGTGTGCAGATATAAGCGGTTCTCATTTCATTTGTATCTTTGTGCGGAAGCTGCACTTCCTCCATCCACCATTGCGGAGCCAGACGGGTGAACGTGTCAGATGGTAATTTGCCACAGTACCTGTGAAATGTTACAAAAAAAAATGAATTTAGTCTATGCCTAAGGCAAGAGAAATTTGTTCTTTAAGTTCTAGAAGGTTAAAAACATATATTTTTAGCTTCCGCCATTAGCTTCGGTTGTATAAATATCGATTTTGTAAACGATTTTTTGCTGGATTAAAATAGCCCATTATAATCTATCCCTGGGACAAATTTCATCCAAATCCGTACAGTAGTTTTTTTCTTTTCTTAAAAAGACAACTCTCGCGACACAGGATATACTGATTCCTATAGTATATCCTGTGTCGCGGGGGACTTTACTAACATATATGAAACGGACACAAAGAACACCCAGTCTCAGAACAACAATTTGTGGATCACACAAAGTGTAGTCCCATGTGGGGATTCAACCCACAACACTGAGCGTAGTAGTGAGCGGCGTGGCGACCGCTTAAACCACTACGCCATCCTTGCAGTCTTGGCGTTGAGTGTCTAATGCAAAACTAAAAAGTGCCTATACTATAGTAACCAGACAGTAGATAAACATACTTATTTATTTCTAAACACAAACAGATAAATTACACCCAGACACAAAACAAATATCCCATAAATCAGATAGTTGTTTGTTCTGGACGGTAATCGAACTCACAACCTCTGGCTCAGCAATCTGACTAACCCAAAGAGCCCTTAAAAGCATCCAATAAAATTTTAAAAAATAATTTAAATTAATTTAACTCACTTACCTATTTATAAGTGCAATGGCCGTACTCAAATCAACACTTGCAGTATCAGAGTCACTTATATTTTTCTTACTATCACTTTTACTAATATCACCGCTACTTCTATCCCTCTTTACTTTCAAACCACAAAAACACTCACATTTTTTAGTATCTGAACATTTATTGCACTTTTGTTTATTAATGTCTGTGTTACCATTATTTTTTTCACTTATAAATATATTTTTAATTTCTTTACTTATTTTAAGTAAATCCGTTGAAAATGGAATGTTTTCTGTATGTTTTTCTTGATTGTTGTCATCGTGTGTTTGTGATTTATTTATAATAATGTTTATTTCATTATATTTATTGCTATCGTCTTTTTGTATTTCGTTGTTTTGTTTATTCTCACTTACAGTTTCCTTTTCGTTAAGTTCAACTTCTGTTTTTTTCTCACCACAAATATCATAATCACTTATTTCACATTCTAAGTTATTTTCTAATTTATTACTTATGCTTAGTTCCACAGTTTTTGTTAATGTTTTATCTATCAAATCATTAATACAAGATATATCAAGACTATCAGTTTCACTTACTAACTTATTATCATGTTCGTCATCAAGAACTATTGAGACATTGTCAATGTTTTCAGATATCTGACTACTACTTATCTGATAGCAAAATTTGTTACTATCAAACAAACTATTTTTATCGTAATTTTCTTTGTTATTAGCATCTAACCGAGTGCAGATTTTTTCCTCTACTGTACGTATACTTTTAGCCTCTATATCATCAGTTACGACGCCTGTCAAATTCCTATCTTTGTCATCATTTTCTCTCTTTTCTTTGGTGTTAGAATTTTGACTAATATCGTCGCTACTTATATCTTTATTTATATAATTTTGACTATCAGTCTCCATGCTATCACTAACTTTAGTAGTGTCTTTTAACTTGGCAATATTTTCAATTATAGTATTATCAGCGTCTTTTCGTCTATCGTTAGCATTTTTCATATTGGCAACACTTTCAGTGGGTTTTTTAATTACGGTTTTAGCGTGACTAAAGTTATCGTTCGGAGTATATGGTTTTACAAAGATATTTACTCTATCAGCGTGGTCTTCTTCTGATTGTGGTGGCTCGTTTTGTATACCGCAACCACATTTTCTGCTTATTATCTGTGGACAAAAATATTATATTTTACAATGTTTAGAAATTTTCGTATTTAATACAAACACACACGCACATATAAAATATTTATCGGTATGCAATAATCTAACCCAGGTATAGTCTAGAATCTATAAATTTATATGTGATGAAAAATTTTCGTACTATTTTTTGGACAAATATGGCGCAAGGCAGCATATCATATTTGGGGCACTCAATGTTTATTCATAGGTGTGCTATGCTATGCTATGCTATGAATAAACATTGAGTGCCCCAAATATGTATATATACGTGTACTTCATTATTATTATCATTTTTAAACGATATGTGGGTTCTAAACCCGCACCATAAAGCTATAGAAGTCCAGTATATACCTGTCCTGTCATCGTACAAAAGTCTATACAGTGAGAGTTCAAGTTGAATCAAACAACACATTAGAAACGATCGAAAACTCGGAGAGAAGGCAAACTTGACACAAATACTATACCAACCCGTCTTGCCGTGGTAAAGTAGGCCAAAACCACCTTTCTAAGGAAAACCTTTGTCCAGCAGTGGACTATTAAAGATTGTTGATGTGATGTGAAATTTGATCGAAAAGCGATTTCCAGTAAGTCTAAATAGGTTAAATCCGTGTGTGAATTGCACCGAAGCAAACACTATGTACACAGCATTTTACATCACTATTGAGAAGATCATACAGTATTAGCTTGCAAACTTAAAAAGCGAATGAAACTACAAGAAAGGACGGCCTTGTTGGTCTTGTGGTTAGTGAACCTGACTGCTACGCCAGAGGTCGTAGGGTTGATTCCCATTCAAATATAACACGAGCTAATTATTGCCGGTTTGAGTTGAACTGTCATTGTACGGATTTTCCATGCCCATCTAGGTCAACATAAAGTTTACACTAGACCTCCTTTGTAGCTTTTTTCCTTAACCGTTTCTCATATTTTTTACAACGACAATACTCACTGTGTAAATATTTTAGGTTACCCTAATCTTTTTGTATTTAAACTGTTAAGATCCCAAATTACACGTTCATTATCACAAAATTTGCTATAAAAAGGGTTACAAAGTATTCTGTTAAAGTATTAATATATGTATGTCCATGTAGTGACGGATTAAGAATACGGAATGTCACTACCCCAATTCATCCCGTGGGTGTCCTAAGAACCGACTAAGGGCGCAAAACAACGCAGGACACCAGCACTGCAAAAAGACGGAAAACTTGACACAAACCCTATACCAACCCGCCTGGCCAGCGTGGTATAGTAGGCCAAAACCTTCTTTCTAAGGAGAGGCCTATGTCCAGCAGTCGACTATTAAAGGCTGTTGATGATGATGATGTACAGATGCATAAAGCACTTACCTGATCTAATTCCCTATAAGTAGCGACGTTGTACAACAAGTTGTCAGTGGTTTCGACAGAGTCAGTACAGAGCAAGGTGGACGTGGCTCGCGGTGCTCGCGCCCTCCCACGACAGAGGCCATAGGAACGGTATCTGAAACCAAAACCAAAGCTTGTGTATCTTGTTACTAAAAACAGCTGTTTTTTTTTTATAATATTGTCATTGAATGTGTTGAGTGTAATGATTCGATATCTCAGTGTACGCCAAGGATGAGAGTGTTATTTGTTGTGTATGTGTTTAAACTTTGTCATGTGAGTGAATTATTATTTTAAATTCTTATGAGAAATAAATATATCTCAAACCTCAAAACCAGAAGAATAGAATAAAATCATGTCAGATTTTAAAATTGTTAGAATTTTCTGCTGCTTTCAATGTGTCCTCCATTCTTTAATTCGTCCGAAGTCTATTATACAACAACTGACGCAAATAGTATCGTTTTTTTTTTCATACTTTCGGTAGTTGTATTTCTTACACAGATACTATATCAGCTCTGTCAACAACCTACATAATCTACATAGGAGAGAGATAGAAACAGCATACTTACGAAGGTGGCATATCCCATCTCAGTACCAAATTGCACCTGGGCAGGTCGATTCCTTCTTCCAAAGCTGATGTCGCCAGCAGCAGATTGCATTCGTGCATACGAAATCTGTTAAAGAAATTTATCATCATCATTCCATTGTCCTTTAAATTTTATTTGGAGTTCCCAAGGATTTTGGGTGGCTTCCGTGGGAGAGCTATGCTTCGGCAGGACTGACTCGGAATAACATTAGGGCCTCACACAAAACCGGTTTTAAGCATTTTTTCACATGCGACGGAGCGACGGGAAGCTCAAAAGATTACGCAATTGTGACCTTTGAGCTGTAGGTGTCCATGAGCGACGGAAGTTGACTTACCTTTTGCCACAAATACCATAAAAAATATTTTATGGATAGCAGCCTGGATGACGCCATGATTCCTTGGGAATGTCATCCTAGGTTACGGAGCTACGTTAAGGTATGTCGAAAACCTCGGATAATATGGAAAATGAGTCTGAGGCTGGCGTAGCTTAAATAAGTCGAGGTATCGTCTATGTGCAGCCAGGAGTTGGAGAATCCACACAGTCGGGGACATTAGCTAATCGGGTTAGAAAATAAAGATAAAAAATATCCTTACTTCTGTTTTAAGACTTTGTTCGCCTTTTCTTTCAAGTGCGTATATCCCCTCGGATACTACCCATGCGACAATCGGTGGGGTGATCATGTCGGAGTCGAACCGACTAAAAACCGCATGCCGTCTCGGTAGCTGGGTAACCAGGTGTAACCTAGAAAAGAAATCCCCCTCGCGAGTGAGGACTATGGTGTCCCCTTCCCTCTTAGTTAGTCACAGATTAGAGTAAGTAGCTGTAGTTCTGATAAACAGGATGAGAATTCCGTTAGCCTAGAGAATAGGTAGCATGAGGCCAGGAACGGTAAAAACCTAAGTTCATTCAACGCTTCCTGAACCGTACTGTATGAATGTTGCCACCTTTCTTAAAACTTACTTCTTCAAGACTTCCTCCTGTTTCTTCCCCTGACGTTGACATTCCTTGAGCTCAGTTCCCGGGTCCACCGCATCGTCCATAGCGCAATATTGGGCACACAGATATGACAGCTTTCTGTTACAGCGAGACATATCCTGAAATAAGTGCAATTCGCTCATCAATCGATTCTGTAAACTATAAAACTGAAACATTTCACACGCAAAAACAGGTAATATTAACTAAAAACTAGTAAAACTCGGATTGGAATAATAAGATCAGTTAGTGGTATTCCTAAATTTATTAAAGATGGACCCACATTAGACTTACGGGGAACCCTTGTCCAGTTGCGGACCAAACAGAGGTCCTTTATCAAGGGGTAGAGCAACCTGTCAAGCGCTGCTTGCGTATTGTCTATGAAAAACAACATCTTATCAGATTATAAGGCAAACACTGACAGTTTTAATTAAATGTTTACAACATCAAAAATATGGTCCGATACGGAACCGCAATAGAACAACAACCGTACAGAACACAGGTTTATTCGCTTCACGATAAAGGATCCCTGTTAGTACCGAAGCACATGACTATGTATATTCATAATATCTTTATTCATTTGCTTACCACAATAATCATGAACATGATCTTGGCAATTAATGCATCCTTCATATATACAATGCCGCACAGAGCATCTGGATTCTGCTGCATCTGTAGCAATCTAGCAGCATTGTTCCTTTGCATGCGTGACCTACCACGAGTCCTGTGTCCTGTACGTCTTGGTAAAAGCAATAACCCCTTGGAAAACAGTTCAGGTACTTTACTATCCGGCTTTGCAGTATCAGTCTTACTAATATCTGCTGACGCAGTTTGACTATCGGTAGTACTAGGTACATTAATATCTTGTTTGTGCGTAGTGACTTTCAAATCATGTACTCTGCTGATATTCGCATTGCTTGTGCCGACATCAGTCGATTTCTGTATACCGTTGCTGCCATTGTCAGGCTTTTCTTTACTATCATTACTACTTATGGCATTTTCTAATTTATTATCTACACACACGTCAATATCCGTCGGTAATTCTTCAATATCTTTCAAATTAGATTCGTAAATATTAACTCTATCCTGAATTTTGTTGCCTAGCGTTGTAAAATCGCATTTATCTATTTCGTTGAGCATTTTATTGACACTATCTTTTCGACTAACGCAACTATCAGTCTCACTTACAACACAAATAGCATTAATATCGCTACTATCTTTCTTGGTTTTACTCTTAAGATCGGGCGGTTGGAATTTCTCCAATATTTCAGCGAATCTTAACACTTTATGAGTGCTAAATATTTTAATTTTTTCCCAATCATTTTCTACTTTACTAAACATATAATCGGCAAAACCTCTGATCTTTATAAAGACCGTCGTACAAAGACACAGCAATAGAAAGTGTCGTTCGTAAGGTACTTTTATTTTTAATTTTTCTAATTTTATTAGAAGAGAGAAAGCTGCTTTGTCAGCTGCGTATGGTCCTGTAATAAAAAAAAACACTATATTAGCGTCAGGAGGTGTAGTGTTCGATTACGTGTTGGTTCGATTTCCGCCTAGTGTCAAATATTTACGTGTTTAATCATCTGGGAGTTTGTAGAATAAAGTTTGAACGTAACGTTAGAACGGTTGAACGAATACGGAGGAAAATTAGCACAGGGACGGATTATAGTCTGGAATAGACATATTTTTCTTTACAGAATAATATTTTTTTGACTGGTCTAGTAGTCTAGTGGTTAAAGGTCTTGACTGTTATGTCAGAAGACGTTTCGATTCCAAACCAGGAGTAATTTTATATTGCTATAACAAATAAAAACACTTACCTAGCTGCTCCAATACATATAGGAACTGTCTGAACAACCGTTTGGGGTCTATCCCGGGGTCTGGAATGTCCATAAACTCCTCATAAAGCTCGTCACCGTAGATCTCGGAGGGGTCATGTCTGTGAAGATGTGTTTGACTTTTACTGCCAATTTTTTCTTAGTGGCAATAACATTCACCAAAAGCGGTTGCCGTGTGGTGACGGATTAAGAATACAAGAGAGTCACCACCCCTATTCATCCTGAGGGAGTCATAAGAGCTGACTAAGGGAGGGAGATAAATCACGCAGGACAACAGCAGCAAAAGAGCAGAAAAACTTGACACAATGCCAACCCGTCTGGTCAGCGTGGTATAGTAGGCCAAAACATCCTTTCTAAGGAGAGGCCTATGTCCAGCAGTGGACTATTAAAGGCTGTTGATGACTAAAGGCTGTATCCCTAAAGGCTTAAGCAGATAACGATTAAAGATTAAACAGCTATAATTTTAACCTAACCCAGAAAAGGATTTCAATTTCGTTGTACTTACTATACTTTCTTTAAAAAATGTGCCAAAAGAATCAAAATCGTAACTTAATCAATTTCGTTCACTCGTGAATCGAACCCAGGACATACTGAACTACTCAATCACTAGTCCTAACTTACCTATGGTCATCTATGAACTGCGTTGCTTCGTTAATGGTGTCCACCATGAATTTTTCCAACTCCCTGTACTCATCAGACATGATGTCCTCTGAGGGTCGAGGTCCGTATTCTATAATAAGCTCCCGCGGCTTCGTCAGAGAATTGGCTATCCTGAAAAAAAAACATATAACAAAAATGTATTTCAATGCCATCTAGTTCATTCAAGATGACAACTACAAGAAACCTGCAATACCCGCCCGACTGAATCTGTTTCTATACAGGGTAAGGTGTTTTTTTCGGCAGAAAATTACAATGGTTTTAGACTCAGAATGATGGTCTGAATACACTATTTCAGTATGCGTTAAGATATCCCTTACACCCTGTATAAGAGGGGGCAAGCTTATTGCAGAGAACTAAAGACGGGTAAATTGGGAGTACATCGTCAGAGAAAGGCAAAAACATAGAAGGAAATGTATTTCAGCGCCATCTAGTTGAGACAAGTCGAACTAGAAGAGAACTGTTGATGGCTGATTGAATCTGATTCTAGATTATCAGGTGCAAAAATAGATAGGTATTTCGGGTGACCACTCAGAGCGCAGCAACCACTTGTGATTTTTGAGTTGGGCGGTAGTCGCTTACTATCAGGTAAGCAGTCTGCTCGTTTGCATAGTAAATTTTCTAATTTTGTTGGAACCTATTTTTAGTGTATTTTTTTTTAAAACAGCTTTGGTTGAAAATTGGTCTTTGCATTTAGGATACCTTACTGGTGGTTGGCTGAGAAAAGGGACGGGGGGAGCCTTGAATTGAAGATCGGTGGTGGCAGGCCATTTTTAATTCTACATCATCATCAGCCTATCGTAGTTTACTGCTGGACATTGGCCTCTCCCATTGCGGTCGATAATATTCCATTTTAAACTCATCAAAACATATTCTCACCGCTTCCCACCATCGATGTCCTCCGCCAGGTCCATCTGACAGCACAATTCCGACTCCAGATCTTCAATTTTCCACTCCAGCTTCTCGTAAAGATCAAAATCATCGAGATTCTCGTACACACCCAGCTCATCCTCAATTCCCTTTGGAAGAATAATAGAGAAGAAGAACAGGAATCTTTTACCCTAACCGTGTATTGGAACGAAGTTCCTTATCGCGCGTTAGACGCTCTGAGCGGATGGGAGTGAGACCGAAAAATGTGTAACAAGACTTTTTTTCGACACTTTTGGTATTTTAAGATAAATTTTCAATTTAACTATTAACTTGATTTTTTTAATAAATCCTTTAAAAAATCTTGAACCGACTTCAAACTGTTAACACAGAGCATTAAAAGCACAGCAGCAATCGCGGTTCATTTGCTGTAATTTTTAGAAGAGTTCCGTTGTCTGTCTCCGTAACTCGTCATCAGATCTATACGAAATTTAAATAGGACCATTTTGGAATAAACTCCAGATTTACTACCAGCTGTCTCGACAGATTTCGTTCTGTCAAAAGTTAATTATTGACCTGTTGCAATTCAATAAAAAGAAATAAATAAATGTTACGCATCTCAGAGCGATCACTTTTCTTCGAACATTATTTTTGGCAGGCATAGATTAATATCCATACAGACTAGTCAAATTGAAACCTTAGTTTTGTTTTGATTGAAGTTTAACGTGTTTGACAGCTTGGGATAAGTGTTTTAATATACTCTGTGGTTTGTATGGAAAAGAAAAAGTTTGTTTTTATTATTTTTACTTCCAATTTTTACGTTTTTCTCTTCATAAGAACCTTCCTTGTGACTTAACGAAAATACGAAACAAAAATTAGTGGAATTGGTAGAGCAGTTCTCAAGTTTTGCGCTTATCAACACATTCAGCGATTCATTTTTATTTATTTATATAATAGTAAGATGTTTTGTATGTTTCATACTTAGTATGTCATAATTGCACCATTCTGTAAATATTTTCAACAATTCCATCATACCTGATCTCTCATTATCTCCGTCTGGGTCTTGATGCTGATGATCTCTTGGGAGTCTTGCTGAGGGAAATCTTTCTTCACGTCTTTCTTGGGAGAAGTGAACAGTGGGTAGGTCATCGCGAGGATGATTGGACGATCAGACACTGGACATTCTTTATAGTGTTGCATTATCTAAAAATTAAATAATAATGAATTAATAATTAATTAATAATTAATTAATTAAGTATGGTGAACCTGAAGAGAACCAAGGTCATCGACATAGCCCACCGGTTTCTTTAGTACAGACCGCGTCTAGGCAAAAGTAGTGTAGGATGCCCACAGGCTAGCACAACTAAGGCTGTAGCTTGAAGATGGCAGCGTCTTGTATGTTATTCCTAAAGTTGCAGAGGCCACTAGAATATGTAACTAACACATAAGTACTCCCCCCTCCAAACATACCGCCAAACATACCGGCCCGGTATTTGAGAAACCACCAGGACGGAGACATCAACTGGCAGATACAAAAATTATTGCTACATGTTTCGCCCCCCCCCCCCCCCCCCCCCCCTTCCAGCCACCAGTAGAACAGATATATCGACTGGCACTACATTTGTTCCACATAACTTTCTAGGATTGTAGCGGCCACTAAGACAGGTACATCTTCATTCCTTGTTAGCCTTTGATAGTCCACTGCTGGACATAGGCCTCTCTTTAGAAAGGAGGTTTTGGTCTACTATACCATGCTGGTCAGACGGGTTTCTTTCAACCTTTCCTTCTCTTTGCAGTGCTGTTGTCTTCCTTTGTTTCCTCCCTTAGTCGGCTCGACACCCACAAGACGAATAGGGGTGGTGACACATCGTATTCTTAATCTGTCACAACAGGGACTTTTTTTATGTTAAAGGGGGCAAACGAGCAAGACGGGTCACCTGATGATAAGTGACCATCGCCGCCATGAACGTCTGCAACTCAGGAGTCAGAAACGCGTTGCCGGCCTTTTAGGAGAATGCTCTTTTCTTGAAGGTTTGAAGGTCGTAACGGTCCGGAAATACCGCAGACGATAACCCGGACTTATTAAACTTCATCAACAATCATCAACTGCCTATAACAGTCCACTGCTGGACATAGGCCTCCCCTTACATATTAAACTTAAACTTACATATTTTAAATTTTCATCTTTGTATATGAGATGGCAGCTGTCCAGGATTAGGACATTAATCATGTTCGTTGTCAGTAAACCATCTTCCAGTATCTGCTTGAGGACAGAAGCTGTGCACACAATCACCTGTAATAGAATGGTTTTTATAAACTGACTGCACAGATGATGTAGTGTTCTAAAGCGGTTACCTCACCGCTTCCTACTGCTAGACTGAAATTCAGACCCAATCTAGTTTGGAGAAAAGCTCGGAGATGAGTTCTTGAAAATTTACATTGACTGCAGGAATGGCGTAGGGATTTAGGCGGTCACCTTGCCGCTTCCTACAGCGCTAAGTGTTGTGGGCTCGATCCCCATATAATAATAATAATAACAATATTCTACCACATTCACACAACGCCATCTAGTCCCAAACTAAGCAGAGCTTGTACTATGGGTACTAGACAACTGATATAAATAAATATATACTTTTTTTTTGTAAATACATACATATTATACATAGAAACACCCAGACCAAATCAAACATTAAATGTTCATGCACACAAATGTTTGACTTGAGCGGGAATCGTACCCACGACCTTCGGAATAGCAGTCAGTTACACAAACCACTACGCCATTCGGTCGTCCGATATATGGGACAACAACGTCCGCAAATTGTTGTTCTGAGTCTGGGTGTTCTTTGTGACAGTTTCAAATACGTTTGTAAAGTTATCAGCACAGGTGTAGCGTGGTAGTTGCTGATATTAGCTACTGAGCTCAAAATTGTGTGATGAGCACAATAATTTTGTTCTGTATCTGGGTGTAAAGTTTTTTATAATATGTACATATTTAATAATTTATAAGTGTGTTTATCAGAAGTCTGGTGACCATAGTTACAGGCTCTGTCCAATTTGGAATGTGCTATGTGCGAGAGCTGTGTGAGAGATTTTTTTTATGGTCTAGCCGTTAGCTTGGCCCTCCTGATGTTTTGCGGGACGCAGGGCGGGTGATGCGCTCGGCTATACATGACACGATGTACTAACTCGATATCTTCAGATTTATTTGTTTCAGATTTAATCTACACACGATGTAATAAAAATCGAATTTATTTCCATGAATTATAATGTCAGTGTATTGTAAGTTTTTATGATTAATTGTAAAATTTAATACTGTAAAAAATTATATTCAGATACAATTTAAAAATGAAGTAAACTAATAAATATTCGTTATTAGAACTTTAACAGTAGAACCTCTGTAAGCCGAACTTCAAGTTTTTAAATCTTTTTGTGACGCAGAGTCGGCAGATTATCCATGTTGCAAAATAATACCGTGTGTAGCAGTCTTAAGAAAAATAACACGTACAGCCATGCTTTCACGTCAGTCACTGCCGGCGGACAGCGACGCACTAGCTAATTGGTTGAATGCACCCCCGCCCCGCGTCCCCCAAACCATCAGCAGGGCCAAGCTCACGGCGGTTTAACTACAATAGACCAGTAAAGACCATGTGACCACTTGATGAAGTGACTTCCTCCGCCCACGTATTTGTAATTTGTGTATTTGCAACTCAGAAGACAAGTACGTTGACACACTCAGAGTGCTCTTACCTCTCTAAAGATATGGGTTGTAGTCAACCCTCTCTAAATTTAGGGGGAGGGGGTTGACTAGAAAACCATCTGCTGTGTCTACTACCAGAATCCACTTACCTCCTTGGCCTCGAGTTCTGCCTCCCAATCATCTACTTCTTCATAAGTCTCAGCTGATGATATTGTCAGGTCTGTAAGTATTTTGAGCTCGTAAGCCACTACTGGAATTCTGGTGGCACGAGTCACATAGATGGAACGTTGACACCCACTGGACATAGGACTGTTGAGAAGAGATTGATTACTGTTAATCCTTTTTGTTGTTATTATGGATACGCAGAACAACAACACTGCCAACTGCCAATCCAGTGGTTGATGCCTGCATCGAGTGCATGTTCTGCAATCGCTGATTTGCTCGTCTGTCGGTTCTTCACAGCAGCGATATGCCACCTCGCTTTTCTGCGCAATCGGTTAAACACCAGAATAGGGAGTCATCGGTTTGCTTACAGAATAGGGACACTGTTAGTGTGGTATGTGACGGTACATGGCGACACAAAAACAACAACAATATCGAAAATGTGCGGGTAGATGAAGAGCCTTCTACTTCACGGATTCGACGAAGGAGGGCGTGCGCCGATGAGCCAGTCAGCCTGTGACCACGGCCGGTGCAACCTGGTCGAATCGTCAGGCAAACCAGAGGTATGTAATACCCTAAATAAGAGATCGCGTTAATTCCCGTTAAAATAATATTAATATAATTGTGAATATAAGTAAAGACATTCGGAAGATTGTATCTTGAGCTTAGTATTTTAAAGGTCTTAATAAGATCAGTTCTAAACCTGCGATGTTTTAATGTTGGTAATTTAAAAGCATTCCTTATAAGTCTTATTCCGCAATCCATACGGTATGTGTTGAAATGCATGTTACATGTTATACTAACGTCTTTTATGGTATAGGAGGGGAAACAAGCAAACGGGTTACCTGAGGTCCGAAAAATCTTATTTTTCTTTTAAATCAAATTATTCTTCTTTAAAAAAAATATATTATTCTTTTAAAAAATATATTGTTATTTTATTTTCTGCGTTTATATTCATTCAATACAATTCAACTTTCGAACATACCGTCTACCCTCTAATTATCTCATTAGAGTTTATTTTATTTTCTTTTTACTTTATTAATTTACAATTTATTTCTTAATAGTTACCCTCGTATCTGATAAGCCTTTTCATAAAGCAGCCGAATGGGAATGAAGGAGGAATACTCCACAGCGAGGATGTTTTTGGAGGATGCGGCGGCTGCGAGCCTTGCTCCACCTTCGGCTGCCGTGAAGCGGGAACAGCACGCGTCCATCATGATGCCCTGGAATAAAGGTGTATTTTTGTATGACAAACTGTATCTCTTGGTAGCAAAGGTTTGACGCATTTGACGGTTGTTGGCAGGAAAATAATAACATTCGTTAAAGAAAAAATAATTATGTAAATATATAAAAAAATATTTGTATTAATGTCTGTAATCTTTGTGTGTATTTAATATTTATATATGTTAGTAGTATGTATATTGTAAGCATATTTAGTATGTACTAGCTGAGACCCGCGGTGTTACCCGCGTTTGTTGTTATAACCGCGGGCAACGCCGCGGGGCGAAGCTAGTCTAAAAAAAGTAGCCTAAGTTACTCCTTATGTCATCAGCTATCTGCCAGTGAAAGTCCCGTCAAAATCGGTCCAGACAGACAGACAGACAAAAATTGAAAAAAATGATATTTTGGCATATGTATCGTGTAAACATACATATGCATTTAGTAAAAAGGGGTTATTTTAATATTACAAACAGACACTACAATTTTATTTATTTGTATAGAGTATATACTAACTTTTAAACTTTCGCGTTCCATGATAATTAATATTATTTAACGGGAATTAACGCGATCTCTTATTTAGGGTATTACATACCTCTGGTTTGCCTGACGTTTCGACCAGGTTGCACCGGCCGTGGTCACGTTTCGACCAGGTTGCACCGGCCGTGGTCACAGCATGTGACCACGGCCGGTGCAACCTGGTCGAAACGTCAGGCAAACCAGAGGTATGTAATACCCTAAATAAGAGATCGCGTTAATTCCTGTATAGAGTATAGATATATATTCATTATATAAAGTACACCACAGACTACTCTAAATCAGATTTGACAATATCCGTGTAATGGTTGTCTGGTAGAAATAGCCGTGAGCGATAAGACCAGACCGCCTATTGTAATACCAAATGTACATGTCCATCCATGACTGTACAATATACACTGTACTGCTGTACAATAAAGATGTATAAATAAATAATGTATTTTTAAATTGTACTATTTATATATTATGCAGATTGAAATGGAGATGGGCCGGACACATAGCGAGAACAACCAATGGACGATGGAGTGAGAGAGTCCTGCACTGGTACCCACGAGATGCAGTTAGACCACGCGGCAGGCCAAAACGACGATGGCGCGACGATATCGTGGCCCTTGCTGGGCCAAACTGGACGAGACTAGCCAAAAACAGAAACCTATGGTCAGAAATGGAGGAAACCTTCACCCAGAAGTGGGTTCCCCTTTAAAAATTAAAAATGAAATAGAGAACATGAAATAAAGTAAGAATCAAATAAATAAATAAAAAGATATACCTATGTAAATTCTACAAGTGAAGTGAAATTTGTTGTTATAAAAATCTACCAAATGTTGAGTTATTTGTTATGGGAAATAAAAGGCTATTATTATTATTTATATATTAAAGGACAGGGCGTAGTGTAGGAAGACCACAGACCAGGGAGAGTGACAATCTGCACAAGATGGCTGGCAGGAGCTAGATGGGAGAAACCGATAATCAATCTTAGTGGCGTACAATGGGAGGGGCCTATGTCCAGCAGTGGACTGCGATAGGCGGATGATGATGATTTATCAAAGTCTTTTTTACAAGGGCATGGTATGATTTAACCGGTGTTAACACAGTGTTAACATGACTCTCCTATATTTAAGTTTCTGTAGACTGCTCATAGTTAGGTGTTTTTACCACTATTATCATTACTCTGTAACTTCTAATCCGAATAGTTAGAACGATAATGGGACACCTAGCCCTGAATGCGAGTGACAGTCCACTTTGCAGAGGAAACTGCAGAAGAAACAGCCGCCCACATAATCCTGGACTGAGAGGGATTGGCCACACAATGGGCAAGTATCATACTGGATAGGAAATCGTTCCTAGAAGCATGTGCCTGTGTAAATGCCCCAGGAGGATTGTGTGCTTCTGATAGGAGCTGAGTTGGTTCACCTAGCCAATCTTACCATGATACATAAAGGATCATCCCTAAATCTAAATGGGGAAGCCAGATCCCACATCCAATAGTACTGTCAAAACTGTTGTTTCATGATATATCTATTTTTTTTAAACTTAAAAAGACAACTCCCGCATTAATAATGTATCCTGTGTTGCTGGGGACTTTAAAAACATACATAAAACGGACACAACGAACACCCAGGCTCAGATCAATAACTTGTGGATCACACAAAGTGACTGCACGGATGGCGTAGTGGTTTAAGCGGTCGCCACGCCGCTTCCTACTGCGCTGAGTGTTGTGGGTTCAAACCCCACATGGGACGACACTTTGTGTGATCCACAAATTGTTGTTCTGAGTCTGGGTGTACTTTGTGTCCGTTTCATGTATGTTTGTAAAGTCCCCCGCGACACAGGATTTATTCCTAGTGCGGGAGTTGTCTTTTTAAAATGAAAAAAAATGAAAGTGTGGTCCCTTGTGGGATCGAACCCACAACACTCAGCATAGTGGGAAGCAGTGTGGCGACCACTTAAACCACTACACCATCCATGCAGTCAATTATTAGTATTGAACTGAAATCAACGAGATTAATAAGTATTAAATTACCCGATGTTTTGACTAAGTTGTACTGGGCGAAGTCACAGACAGAGTGTGTTACATTAATTCTTGTTCATTCATTATAATTCTATTTTATTTGGATTTTATTCCTTTTGCCTCTATAATTACAGTTACCTTTTGTAATATAAACATGCTAATTTATACCTATTATCAATAAAATGTTTACTTTAAAAAAAGAAAATTATTATTGGTATTTGTTATTTAATTCATAAAGTATTCTAATAAGAAAGGGGTTGAGACAAGAAGTAAATATCTAGACATTTTTACTGTAAAATATGTGTAAAAGTGAATGAACTTATTATAAGAGAGGTTATCGTTCAAATACAATAAATAAAGTTGAAATAGTATTAAAGACTTACGAATTATATTCCTTGTCACTACCAAAGCTTATAAAACAAATCTAGCACTTGTTAACTTGTTAATAAATTACACAAACATACATTATTAGAATGAAATTTGAGCTTCACAACTGTTATTGAATCATTTTAACGACTTTCTTGTAATTTCGCATCACTAGAATCACCAACAGAATACTTGACCGGTTCTATAGGTTTCCAGAGAGTGCATAATGATAAAACAACTATTATTAATAACAATAATCGGTCGATTTACAAAATCAAACAATTTTTGCAAAACTTGGCATCCACGGTAGATTTTGCAAGGCATGAAAAATTGTTTAAATGCCAGAAATGTCAAACACCGAAATGTCCGATATGCACAGATAATTAATCTATAAGAATCTGTTTTTCTAGAAGTTGATTTTGTCTTGTTCCATCGCTTATTCAGCCATATCACAAAGATCTAAATACAAAGCTGCTTAAACGACGTATAATAGCAACCTTTTTTGACGTGACAACGTCTTTTAATTCGATGGAGCCGGCTGCACGTACGAAAAAACATGACTCATGCGGCGTTACCCCGCTCTGAGGCGTTCCATTTAAGGCTTGAAGTGCAAGCGAGCCGGCCTCCGCGTTCGGCAGCGTTCGACATCTGTCTCTCTCCTACTTGAGTGAATTTTCTTTTGAAAAATGCAACCATTCGATTAGTATTTTCTTATGACGTTGTCACGTTCAACTATCGTCAGTAAACCGACTTTACAGACGATAGTTGAACACCTGAACCAAGGTAACGTGTAGCGACTGACGGATCGTAATGTGTAGCGACTATGGTTAGAGACAACAATTTTGTAATTAGATAGCGTAATGCGTAATTGATATGTATTTGAGGTAATGAAGCGAGCTTACACGTTTAACACTAGTTTATTACTGAATGCAGTACAGAGCGACACAGCGCAGTCGGCGCACGGCGAGCGGCGATGCGCTGTACATACATGTTTAGATATACATCACTCCTCCACACTTAGTCTTTCAAATCTGGTGACAATATTATTTAATACAGTCAGATAATAAACAGATAACTAATATAATAATTAAACTTATTATACTAAATACTTGATAGTTAAGTTATAATCTAATAATACATTTTATAGTCCACTACTTTCCTAGGACGCCTTGAGCGTGAGAGTGCGGCTGATGGTCCCGGTGGTGGTACGTTCACCTCAGGTTCTACGGATTCTGAAGGTAAAGTTTGAACTTGTAGTGCCGATTTTGACTCCGTTGCTACATTATTATCCGCACCCGTACCCTCACTCTCGATGGCTTCACTATCGCCCCGTACTTCCCCGTTGTCATAATCGGCGACCACTGTCGCATCTAAAACTACAGGCACTTCACTACTTTTAGTTGCCCCTGGTTTATAGATAGTTTTCGATTTAAGAGAAGTACTGGGTGATTGTAACTGTGGAGATTCTTGGGCAAAAGTATTCGTAAATGTCGGCTGACTATTACCAACACTCTTAATAATTTGATCAACATGTCTGAAACAGTATTGATTCAACTCTTTAATAAGAATCTTGTACATCTTATTACCTATTTTATTATTTACTACCCCTAATTTCCAAGATTCTTGCCGTGCACTGTACCAACGAGTCCAAACGACGTCACCAACAACAAACTGCCTTTTTCCGTACAACTTTGTAGTGTCAGTATGAGTCATTGTTTTTGTAGGCATAATTAAGTCGAGACGGGAGCGTAAGTTCCTCCCGAACATCAATTTAGCAGGCGTTTCCCCAGTGGTACAGTGCACAGTATTTCTATAATTAAACAAATAGCCTAACAATAGTTCATGAATCTGACACACTGGTAAGTTATCTTGTAAAATACATTTTAACATTTTTTTACAATTTCTGACGGCATTCTCGGCTTGGCCATTACTACATGGGTGGTAAATGGGCGATGTCATATATTTAATACCATTAGAAATACAAAATGATCTGAACTCGACTGAATTGATCTTTACGTCATTATCCGACACTAATACATTAGGTATACCAAAAGTTGAAAATATACCCTTTAATTTCACAATTAGCGCTTTAGTTGATGTTCCACTATGCATGTATAGACATTCCACCCACTTACTGAATGAATCTACAATTACGAGATATACCCTCTGCCCTATGGTCATGTAATCTATGTGCACGCGCTGCCAGGCACTAGTGGCGGCGGGCCACGGCGCAGGAGGATCGCGTGGGGGCGCGGGGCGCACTCTGACGCATATTGTACAAGACCCTATCCAACGCTCGATATCGTGGTCGATTCCTGGCCACCACATCCTACTTCGTGCGTTACTTTTAGTTTTAGTTATGCCTAGATGCGTATCGTGTAATTCGCGTAGCATACTGTCTCTTAAAATCTTCGGAATAACTATTCTGTGTCCTCTAAAAAGACAGCCGTTTTCGTACTGCAAGTCTGACTTGCATTGAAAAAAAGGTAAAATTTCCCTACACCTTATTTTTCGCGGCCAGCCCTTTACCATGTACCTAATAACTGTTTGAATTACCGTATCACGTTCGGTCGCTTGAGTTACCTCACGTATCGTTTTAGCGGGCGATGACTCATTTAAAAACTGCACTGCATAATACGTGTCTATTTCGTTATATATTTCTTCCGACTTGTTTACGCATTTTAAAGGCGCGCGTGAAAAGTAGTCGGCCACTATATTATTATCACCCGACACATAATTAACTGTATAGTTATAAGCCGATAATATAATGGCATATCTTTGTAGCCTTAGTGCTGTTGTTACCGGTATACCAGATTTATTACCGAAAATGGATACTAGCGGCCTATGATCGGTTTTTAATATGAATGGTTCACTACGGCCATACAAATACTGATGGAACTTTTTCACACCAAATATAATGGCGGTCGCTTCCTTCTGTATCTGGCTGTAGTTACGCTCACTTGATGTTAGCGATCGCGATGCATACGCGACTGGGCGTTCCCGCGCGTCATCCTGCCCACGCTGCGATAATACGGCGCCGAGTCCAGCAGGCCCCGCGTCTACTGTCAGCACGAGCTGAGCCGTCGGCTCAAAATGCGCTAATACGCGCTCTGACGCTAATTCACGGCGCACTGACACCATCGCCTGCCGCTGTCTATTTCCCCATTTCCAGGCTACATCATTCCTTAATAATTCGAGCAGAGGATTCAATAAGGACGAAGCATTAGGAATAAAACTTCTGTAGTAATTAACCACTCCTAAGAACCTCTTAAGTTCGGTGACGTTAGTCGGTTCGGGAGCGCCTACTATTGCTTTGATTTTATCAGGACTAGTCATTAGCCCTTCTTTACTAATAACGTATCCTAAATAAACAACTTTTGGTTTAAAAAATTCGCACTTATCTTTTTGGAGACGTAACCCGGCTTCATTTAATCTACCTAAGACTTCAGTTAGTCTCTTAATGTGCGTATCTCTGTCTGGCCCCGTAATACATATGTCATCAAGCCAAATGCTGACGCCGTCTATTCCGCTTAGAAGTGTTTCCATGGCTTTTTGAAATATAGCCGGCGCGTTGGCTAACCCGTAAACTAAACGAGTATATTTGTATAGACCCTTATGAGTATTTATTGCCGTAAGTTCCTGTGAAGGCCCGTCTAGAATGAATTGATTATATGCGTTTTTAAGGTCGATTTTACTGTATAGCTCACCCCCTCCGATCTTATAAAAAACGTCTTCAATCCGGGGTAAAGGGTATTTTTCTATTAAAAGATCCTTATTGAGGGTAACCGAAAAATCACCCGCGATTCTTACCCTGCTATTCTCCTTTAGCACCGGTACTATAGGAGTGGCATATTCCGCGTGATTTATTGGAACTAAAATACCTAAGCCTACTAAGCGATTTAGTTCCTGCTCGATCTTATCTTTTAAGGCAAAAGGAACAGTACGGGGTTTAAAAAACTTCGGAACGGAATTTTCCTTTAGTTGTAGGGTAACTTTAAATTTATTAAATGCACCCAGTTCGTCTCGCCACAAGTCAGGAAATTTGCTTAATAAATTTAAGACATCGTTATCGCTGCACACTAAAGACTTAATATCAGTAGTAACAATCAAATTAAAAGCGGACATAAAGTCTCTTCCCAATAAGGGAGGTCCTCCATTCTTAACTACGAACACTTTAATAGGTTTTTGTATTTTATTATATTTAGCCATAATAATAAAAAATCCTAATGGAGAAATTTTATGTCCGCTATACAAACACATTTTTACATTACAGTTTTGTAATCGGTATTGAGTAAAGGTTTCATTGTATAAATTATGAGAAATGACACTACAGCCAGATCCGGAATCAAGTTCCATTTCAATTAAATGATCGCCTAAGACTAATTCTATTAGAATAGGCTTGTCAGCCACGTACCTTATGTTAAAGTTATGGCACTCTTCGCAATCCGTGTCCGGCGGCTCGTAAACACTACCTTCATTAGAGTCTAAATGGTTAATACACGATGTACACTTTGAATTACGGCACACTTTTTTTAAATGCCCCTTTTTCCCGCACTTTAGGCATTTATAATTTTTATAACGACATTTATCACTGCTGTGATTTTTAAGACCACAAACCGAGCACCGATCACTACCGCGAACGACCGACCCAGACGTACCCTCAGCGCCTCGTCGCCCATTAGCTTGACCTTTATATCTCGCCCGGTATACTGGTTCTTCTTTAAATGAGACTTCCTCTGTTCTGGTCCCTAACATAGCCTTCGCGTCCTTAGCACATGCCGCCTGCCTCGCCAGGTCAATAGCCCGTGACAACGTGAGCGTCGACGGGTTCTGATCGAACAGCTTTTCGCGTTCTGGACCTGCATATAAGCCAAGGACAAAACGATCTCTCAGATTCGTTTCTAAAGCGCTGCCGAAGTCACAATAGGTTGCCAAACCTCTTAATCGCGCCACCCATTCTCCTAGGGTTTCGCCTGACTTCCTGTTGGCACTAAAAAAATTCGCTTTGTCCACAAATGTGCATTGTTTTGGCTTAAAATGACTATCGAGTAATTCAGCTAGTTCCTCAAAGCTCAACGTTTCCAACTCCTTAGGAAATGCGAGGTTAAGCAGTAAACGGTAAGTCTCTTCTGTGAGATGGCACAGTAGAATTCCGCTCTTTTTCGCATCTTCTACCGTATTTATATTAAAGAACTGTAATAATTTACCTTTGTAAATCTGCCAATCACTATTTTTGTAATCAAAAATAGACAAATGTCCAAAATATGCGTTCATTTTGTGGTTGTAGGTAGTCCTTCCTCGTCGCCAATGATATGTATTTGAGGTAATGAAACGAGCTTACACGTTTAACACTAGTTTATTACTGAATGCAGTACAGAGCGACACAGCGCAGTCGGCGCACGGCGAGCGGCGATGCGCTGTACATACATGTTTAGATATACATCAGTAATGCATTTTATTATCACACTTAATTGCAGTTTTAATGACGAAAACTTAGTCACAATTTATAGTAATATTCCTTCCATCAATTATAATTGTCCAGTTAAGACTTTGATACTCAAATTCACCATCAAAAATAAAAATAGTAGACAGACTGAATGACATGAAATCCATTGTAGCATGAAATCCATTAATGTAATGTTGTACTAGGTGGATTTTATTGTTGTGCTTTCCTCATAAAATAAATCCGAAGTTATTATTTGTGTAGATTTTGATATTATTGTTTTCAGTTTTTGAAAAAGGCAACTCCATGTCATTGTTTATCTAATCTGACAAAATGTCAAAATAGTAGGTACAGTACAAATATTAATCTTTATATTTATATTGTACTACGATTACTATCGATACCGATTTCTTGCAGTTTCAGTGCTAAAAAACGAAGTTTTATAGTTTTGTTGTAAATAATGGATCAAATATTACAATTAGAAAAAGAAATAGAAGGCTTACGACAGAAGTTAATAGAAAAAGAAAACGAATTACACACGCTTAAAATAAGTTTAAATTTGGTAAGTAATTTATGTGGGTTGTAAACAAATAGTTAAAAGCTGTGTAAACGTTTCAGAGAAATTTGACCTTCGATTAAAGTAATGTAGCATTAGTTACTTCAGTAATTTAATAAGAGTCTTATTAACATTTCATTCAACATTATCATGCAAGTGAGTCTTTAAACTATAAATAAAACTATAAAAAAATAGAAATAGGTTTTGGCCTACTATACCATGCATTATTAATAATAAAACAAAATTATTTGACAAGCCTGTTGGTCTAGTGGTTAGTGACCCTCACTGCTAAGCCGGAGGTTTTGGGTTCGATTCCCACCCAGGAAAAATATTTGTGTGATGAGCACAATTTTTTTTTTTTAATTTTTCTTTTTTCTCAGTTAAAAGATTAAAATTATATTACAGAGTCAGAGTGCTGTGCTACAAAATGGTGCATCAGAAGCCTGTAATGGCAATCAGAAAGTGATGTATGGAGCTCTACCAAAGTGGGCAATAGAAAGGTAATCATCATCAACAGCCTATACTAGTCCACTGCTGGACATAAGCTTCTCCTTAGAAAGGAGGCTTTGGCCCACTATACCACGCTGGCCAGATGGGTTGGTATAGGGTTTGTGTCAAGTTTTCCTTCTCTCTGCAGTGCTGTTGTTCTGTGTAGTTTTCTCCCGCAGTCGGCTCTTACGACACCGATGAATAGGGGTGGTGACACTCCGCATTCTTAATCCGTCACCGTAAATATAATTAAATATAATCATGTAGTGTTAAAATAGGAATTATGTTTTTTTATTTAATGTTTTATTTGGTCTGGATAGTCACCCAATCAATCACTGTGTGTTATAACATATATGTATTTAAAAAAAAAGGATAAATCTGTTTATATCAGTTGTCTAGTACCCATAGTACAAAATTTTCTTGGTTTGGGACTAGATGGTGTTGTGTGAATGATAGAATAATAATAATAATAAAGCCCTTTTCTTCCGAATTCACTACAGCTTTGACAATACATATTTGCGAGTTCTATTTGTTATAATCTGTCTCGCAATTTGGTGCGCCCCTTGGCATAGGCCTCCTCCAGCTCTCTCCTCTGCTACTCTAGTCCAGTAAGATCTCAAGGTTAGGCGGATATCGTCTTTCCAACTAGTTTTCGGACATCTATTTCTTCTACAGTCCTCTCTTGGGTACCATAAGGTGACTTGTTTGCTCCATTTATTTATTTTGGAACATAGCATATGTCCTGTCCAACCCCATTTTAAATGATCTATGTGAGTTATTATATCTACAACTTTAGTTTTTCTTCTTATTTTTTATTTCTATAGAATAATATATATATTATATTTTAACTAACTTAATTTGATGTTTGTTACCTGATAACTGTGTTATTTATTTTTCTTTTTAATTGGATGGTTATACTACCCATATCATCTTATTTCAACTTGATAAAAATATCACCCCTAAAGGCGGAAAATTAAGGGGGAGACTAAACACCAAAAAAAGGAGGCTTCGAACACGCCTTGCTACTTGGTGACCGTTTGATTACAGGTACAGCCGACAGATTCTACTCCGCGAGATAGGAGTGCCTGGGCAGTCTAAGATATGTTCAGCTCGGGTGCTAATAGTAGGGGCTGGTGGACTTGGATGTCCAGCGGCAATGTATTTGGCTGGCTCTGGGGTTGGTATGTACCAATCAATCTTACGGTATGATATAACTTACCCTAATAAGGAGTCCTAGTATTATATCATCATCATCAACTGCATTTAATAGTCCACTGCTGGACATAGGGTTTGGTCTACGCTGACCAGACGGGTTGGTGGTCTGGGTGTCTTAATAACAGCAGTTCCCGGATCCCTCCTATTACAGGTGCAGAGTGGCACACCGTGTGCTTTTAGTCGGTCCGATTCCGACACACCACTCCGCTGCAAACTCCAGTGGAGGACGGTACGAGGGGGTTTCCACACGTTAAAAAAAAAGAAGGGTTTGTTTCAAGTTTTCCTTCTTTTTGCAGTCCTGTTGTCCTGCGTAGTTTGCTTCCTTAGTCGGCTCTTACGACACCCACGGGATGAACAGGCTTGGTGACACTCCGTATTCTTAATTCGGACTTGTAGCCGGACTGCTATTAAGTTAGGACCTTTCTGTTGCTTATGGATTGTCTGTAAATGTTTCCTTGATGAAAAGTAGCCTACGTGCTATTCTAGACGAAAGAAACTTCGGAGCAAGTTGGCGCTCCACTACTGTGCGCTTTTCGAGACACTTTTTGTCCCGCACAACCAATCTGTGGAACGGGTTATCTTCTGCGGTATTTCCGGACCGATTCGACCTTCAAACCTTCAAGAAAAGAGCGTACTCCTTCCTAAAAGGTCGGCAACGCGTTTGTGACTCCTGAGTTATAGACGTTCATGGGCGGCGATAGTCACTTTCCATCAGGTGACCCGTCTGCTCGACCCTCTAACATAAAAAAAAAGCAAATAAACAGACGGCTCATCTGCTGGTAACTGACTACCTCCGCCCATGCACAAACTCAAAACTCTCAAGTGTGCCTTTGAGAGCCTTCGCCAGTATTAGAGGAGAAGGTTTGATAACCTCACTTACTCAGTGGAAAGGAACGGTGGAATTACTAAACACCGGTTTTCTGTGAAGCCATGGTGTAACTCCGGTCGATCTGACCCATTTGTGCCAATGTATGGCTCTTCCACAGTAAATAAATAAATAATCGACTGCAGGAATGGCGTTTGGTTTAAGTTTCTTACTGCATTGAGTGTTATGTATCATCATCAGCAGCCTTTAACAGTCCACTGCTGGACATAGGCCTCTCCTCAGAAAGTAGGTTTTGGCCTACTATACCATTCTGGCCAGACGGGTTGGTTTAGGGTTTGTTGTTGTTGGTGGGGATTATAGTTACCCCAATGTCTGTCGTCATCTACCAACGGTGTTTACATTTACACTTCCACCGTTTTAAGATGTCGGGGACACTCTTTTATGGGTTTAAGACCTTGTATGTAAGGTAGTACCAGCAAATAAGACATGTTCACACTAGTATTTAAGCAAGGGTTGGAGAATACTACTACGCTTTTATCTATGTGTATAAAACAAAAGTGTTAAGTTCCTAATAATAAATAAACTTTGTGTCATCCACAAATTGTTTTTTCTGTCCCTTTCATGTATGTTTGTAAAGTCCCCCGCGGTACATGATATTTTCATAATGCGGGTAGTTACAAAAAAAAAATTGTTTTTTTTTTATTTTCAGGAGAGATCGGCATTGTAGACTATGATGTTGTAGAAATAACGAATATTCATAGACAATTGTTACATAAAGAAGAGAATGTTGGTATGAATAAGGCTGAGTCAGCAGCGCATGCTATAAGAAGGTAAGATTGTTCATTTACACCATTGCGATGGGAAGAAAGGTTCAATGACAATGAAAGGACTTCAAACCGCAGTTGTGAGTCTTGAGTTAAAACTTCATGGGTGGTGGTCTCCATTTACCATCAGGTGACCCGTCTTCTAAACCAGTGGCCGTGGGTTCGATTCCCACCCGAGGTCAATATAAGTCAATATGACTGATTCATCAACGCAGAGCCTAAACCGCTGGGGCAAACTTGACATTTTGGCAGCTGATGCTTCAAACCTTCAAGAAAAGAGCGTACTCCTTCCTAAAAGGCCGGCAACGCGTTTGTGACTCCTGAGTTGCAGACGTTCATGACCCGTCTGCTAGTCTGCACCCTCTTAAATTAAAAAAAAAAGTTGTAAGCACCCACTAAGAAAGGATTATTGGAAATTACACCTCTAGGGGATGAACGGTTATATGAAAATTAGTCATTATCAAAGTTTAAAACACAAAATAAGAATTATAACCCGGCAATCTCGTGCGCGACCGTCCCGCGGGGTGACAGACAGTGGCGGGGGCGAGGTAGCGCGTCATTCTAGCACACGGCTACACACGAAGAGAAGTGTTTCCCTTCCCCGCTACACCACCCGCTACCCGCTGACATCTTGAGTACCTCGTCCCCGCCGTCTGTCACCTCGCAGGACGGTCGCGCACGACGTTGATGGACTATAGTCAAGCGTGCGAAGCCGCTGATCACAGACTTTACAGTATGTATGTATTTGTTCGTTCGTTGTTGTAGGTTCGATCCCAACACTTGAGTGAACCACAAATAGTTGTTCTGAGTCTGGGTGTACTTTGTGTCCGTTTTATGTATGTTTGTAAAGTCCCCCGCGACACAGGATATATTCCTAGTCTAGGAGTTGCCGTTTTTATAAAAAGAAAAAAAAATGTAGTCTTGTTTTCATAGTACAGAATCTGTCTTGTTTGCGTGTGTGTAAGATGTAAGAGTTTTTTTTTTTTTTTTACAGCATAAACTCCCAAATTAAGGTGACCCCATACAAGGTACAGCTGGGCTCGTCAAACGCTTTACAAATTGCATCCAAATATGACTTGGTCTTAGATTGCACTGACAACGCACCGACAAGATATCTACTGAGTGACCTCTGCGTGTTAGCTAAGGTGAGATTTAAAAATAATAGTTTTAAAAAACTAAAAAACACGCTTTTTATAAAAAACCAAACTAAGAAATAGAAAATAATATTCAATAAATTTGAAAAAAGCGTGGGGTGCTTTTTACTATTGACAACAGGCACCCAACGCTTTTTTCAATTTTTTTTTTTAAATTAGTGTATTGTTATCGGTCCTCGATATATCTACAAAGTTTGAACGAATTCTGACCGTTTAAAGTCAGTCAAAATCACGCCCAAAGGAGTCGGTTACAAACAAACATACAAACATACAAGTGAAGCTAATAATATAAAGCGTGTGAAAAAGTTAAATGTTGTCTCGTCGAGTCTTACAACACCCATGGGATGAATAGGGGTGGTGACACTCCGTATTCTTAGTCCGTCACCACACGGATGAGGCACAAGTGAAGCTAATAAAAGCAAAACAAAAGCGTATTAACACATTTGGATATGTGATGTGCGTTCCACATAAAACAAAAAACATATTACAATGCCATCTAACGACGACACGCTGAACTACGGAGTGACTACTAATCCTGTATCGCATTATGAAAATTCTCTCTATACACAACTTGCCAACATAAACAACATATGTTCATGGGCGGCGATGGTCACTTTCCATTAGGTGACCCGTCTGCTCGTCTCCCCCTTATCATCAAAAAACAAACAAATGTGTCATTTCTTTATTTTCATACATTGTCATTTTTATCCGACTGCGCCAGTAGGGGATTATGTTTTTAGAGTGTATCGACGGATAGAGTGGGTTTTTGTTACTTTTTTAAAAATTTGCCTGTTTTTTTACAGCTGCCTCTTATATCGGGCAGTGCTTTAAAACTGGAAGGACAACTGACGGTGTACTGCTATAGATCTGACTTACATTCAGAAGATAAGGTGAGAATATTTCTTTTATATTACAGGGACAAAGGAGCAGACGGGTTGCATGATGGGAAGTGGCCATCGCCCTGGACACTGGAACTCATGAGATACAAGTGCTTTGCAACCATTGTGTGCCCTCCTTCCCCAGAATAGCTGGTATATGCAAGTGAATAAAGTTATTAGAGCCCAAAACCCTCCACCACCTATTTCTGGGGGCGAGGATCACCCACTATTTAAAGAGGGGAGGAACCTTCTACCCTACTATTAGAGGGAGGACCAACCTCCCACCCTACTATATGAGGGGGGAGGAATGCCCACTATTTGAGGATTAGACGAACCTCCCAATTTGAGTATTAGACGAACCTTCCACTATTTGAGGATTAGAGGAACCTCCCACCCAACTATTTGAGGGGGGGGGGGTAGGAACCCCTCACTAATTGAGCAGGGGAGGAACCTTCTACCCCACTATATGAGGGGAGGAAGGAAACCCCACTGTTTAAGGGGGAGGAACCCCCACTATTTGAGGAGGGGAGTTCAATTAAGTACCATATTGTTACAGAATAGCACATATAGAGGGCCTTGCTATCGCTGTGTGTTTGCGACCCCTCCGTCCCCTGATGCTATGGGGTCTTGCTCTCAGCATGGGGTCGCTGGGCCCGTGCCTGGGACTATTGGTAAGAAAATACATCGTTCTATGACTGTGCTGTTGATCCAGTGGTTGGTGACCCTGAATGCTAAGCCAGAGGTCGTGAGTTCGATTCCCACCGAGGACAAATAATTGTGTCATGAGAATGATCATTTATTCTGGGTGTAATTTATCTGTAATATGTATGTATTTAGTAGTGTTTCTAACTTTGAAAATGTGCAACATCCATACAAACATTCACCCTTCTTTTACCATCTTAGGGATGAAATTTCCAAAAATCCTTTCTTAGTGGGTGCTTATAATATAAAAAATAATAGTTTTATAAAACTAAAAAACACGCTTTTAAAGAAAACCAAACTAAAAAATAGATTTTTTTTTAATAAATTTGAAAAAAAGCGTTGAGTGCCTGTTGTCAACAGTAAAAAGCACCCCACGCTTTTTTCAATTTTTTTTATTTTTTTTGTAAATTAGTGTATTGTCATCGGTCCTCGATATATCTACAAAGTTTGACCATATAAATACAGACCGATAATTCTGACCGTATAAAGTCTGTCAAAATCACGCCCAAAGGAGTCGGTTACAAACATACAAGTGAAGCTAATATAAAGCGTGTAAAAAACATTAGCTGTCAAAACTTCAAGGTTGTAGTCCTAGCGGTTAATGGTCTGCGTTGACGAATAAGTTAATGACTGAAGGGTATTTAAGCAGTCGCCACGCCGCTTACTACTACGCTGAGTGTTGTGGGGACGACACTTTGTTTGATCCACAAATTGTTATTCTGAGTCTGGGTGTTCTGTATGTATACTCGTATATCCGTGTTCTATAACCCATAGTACAAGTTATGCTTATTGTAGGTCTAGATGGCGCTGATACCGGTTTTCTTGCAATTGGTTTGTCTATACAAATAAATGAAATTGGAGTGTCTGTTTGTAATATTAAAATAATCGCTTTTTACTTAATGCATATGTATGTTTACACGGTACATATGCCAAAATAACATTTTTTACAATTTTTGCCTGTCTGTCTGTCTGTCTGTTTGTTCCGGGTAATCTCTGGAACGGCTGAACCTATTTCGACGGGACTTTCACTGGCAGATAGCTGATGACATAAGGAGTAACTTAGGCTACTTTTTTTTAAACTAGCTTCGCCCCGCGGCGTTGCCCGCGGTTATAACATCAAACGCGAGTAATACCGCGGGTCTCAGCTAGTCATTAATATAAATAAACTAACTTATGCCAGCGGCTCGATAATGTAGCTTTCCATTGGTGAAATAATTTTATAAATCGGTTTAGTGGTTTAGGCGTGAAAGCGTAACAAACAAACTCACTTAAACATTTATAATACAAGAATGGATGTATTTATCCGTGTTCTACCCACATTACAAGTTATACTTAGTTTGGGTCTAGATGGCGCTGATACCCGCTTACCTGCAATCAGTTAGTCATTAACGTAAATGAATGTTCCCCCTTTTTTTAAAGACAACTCCCGCACTAAGAACTGATTGATTGATTGATTGATTGTCCCTCCAACACAAAGGGAGGATCCTCCGACCAGGCGAGGTGACCATGCCTGGCGGGCCGCGGCCCTGGTTGATGTTGGGAAGTTGTATATATGCTAATCGGCGAGGGAATTCTTTATATCGCGATTCAGTATTAGCAATTCTTATTTTAGTAGTTACTCCGTAGTTCGGTGTGTCTTCATTAGATGGCGCTGTAGTATGTTTCTGTTTCTTTGTATGTGGGAGTCGCCACACACTCATGGAACGTACACAAAAAACACCCAAACTTAGGACAACTATTTATGGATCACACAAACTGCCGTACTGTATGGTTCTGAAAGTTGGCCCATTAAGAGAACGGATGAGAGACGCCTGAACGTAGCCGAAATGCGAATGCTGAGATGGATGTGTGGTGTGACTCAGATGGACAAGGTTAGGAATGAGTATATACGAGGGAGTCTGAAAGTAGCGCCACTGGATGAAAAGTTAAGAAGTAATAGGTTATCTTGGTATGGACATGTCATGCGGAGGGATGAGGAAAATGTGGCGAAGAAAGTTTTAGGTATGAGAGTTGAAGGGTATAAGAGAAGAGGCAGACCGAAGAAAAGGTGGATGGACTGCGTGAGGGAGGATATGGCTAGCAAGGGAGTAAACAGTGAGATGACGCATGACAGAGTAGAATGGAAAAATCATACATACTGCGCCGACCCCAAATAAAATTGGGAAAAGGGTAGGCAGATGATGATGATGACAAAGTGTTGTTCCAGGTGCTGATTGAACTTACAACCACTAAGCCATCCGCGCAGTTCGCATTAACTTTGATGTTTTTTCAGGCACTCTCCAAGCTATGGAAGCTATTAAGCTGATAATAGGTCACCCATCCACAAATTTGTTGGTGGGAAGGATGCTGATAATGGATGTGGATGATATGTCGTGTAAAGTAGGTATGTAACAGTATTACATTCATGTATGGATTGCTATTCCAAAGGTCGCGGGTTCGATCCTGCTCAAGTCAAACATTTGTGTGCTTGAACATTTAATGTTTGATTTGGGCTGGGTGTTTCTATGTATAATATGTAGGTATTTACAAAAAAAAGTATATATGTATTTATATCAGTTGTCTAGTACCCATAGTACAAGCTCTGCTTAGTTTGGGACAAGATAGCGCACCTTTAATCATAAACTGAAATAACTTAGAATTTCAATATTGTGGGAAATCGCATTTAAAGTTTGACATTCATGTACGTGCGAGTTCGTCAAAAAGAGAACGACGATCTCTTATCTCTGCCATTTTCATGGTATCGAGTCGGCTGTTGGATTATTCGTGTTCTACTAATGAAGTTGATTTGGTATTTGTTGAAAACTCGAAAAACGTAAATTTTGAATTAATTCAGTTTATTATTAAAGGTGCGATAGTGTTGTGTGAATGTGGTAACTATTATTATTTATTATTATTATTATTACTGAAGGGGTATAAGGCAAGTCTATTGCAATCAATTAAGGGTTAAAGAGAAGGGAAACTTGAACCCTAAACCAGCCCGTCTGCTCATATAATACACCAAAACCTCCTTTCCAAGGAAAGCCCTATGTCCAGCAGTGGACTTTTAAATGCTTTTGATGATGATGAAGGGTTGGTTTGGGCAAATTGGAGTATATTAAAAGGAGAAATAGATAAGAAGAAACCGTAAGAGAGACATGTTTCGACACAAATGGGTCAGGCTCGTCCAGAGTGATACCACGGCCTCGCAGAAAATTAGTGATGAGCAGTTCTTTAATGACTTCTTATCGAGTGAGTGAGGCTACCGGAGCTCAATACCCGGCCTCGTCTCAATTCTGGAAGAGGTAGGCAACGGCCAACGCATTTACGACTTTTATTTATGTTATTTATTAGTATCCACACTTACTAGTATCATTAGAGGTATATCCTAATACGATAGTGTAACTATTACAAAAAAGACGCGTGGCACTCGGAGACCGCCGCGGTACAGCTATTGCATAGCATTTTTTATCAACTTATGCAATTATAATTATTTATTTATTTTATTTATGCAGTATTTTTTTTTCCTTTGTTTTTAATTCAAGTTACACTTTTTGAGCGTGGTGACCGATAAGTAAACAATTTTTTTTCTTTTATTAAATAAATGAGAAGTTAATATTGTTCAAAATATTTTTATTATCTTACAATACATGAAGGTTATTCAGGAATATTTATCATTGAAACTATAGGTTTATGGTAACTGAAATAAATCTTTTAAATATCTGGAAAATACCGCGTCACAACCAATGCCACCTAGAGGCGAGTTGCTGAACTAAAGAGACAAGCGTGGTATTTCAAAAAAGTCATTAAAAGTTCTGCTATTCAGAGATGGCAAAACTAAAAAATACCACCGCTGTGCCGGTCGGAGTGGTGGGTGTTAGGTTATTTTCGTTACGGAATTTCGGGATTCGGTGTCCACGCTCAAGGCCCGCGATAGAAGCTATGCAATAGCTTAAAATACTTGTTTCACGTAACTTCTAAGTTTGTGTCTTGTAACATATAATATATCGGGTGGAAGGGACATCGTTACGAATACTGAAATAGTGTATTCAGACCATCATTCTGTCTAAAACCATTGGAATTTTCTACCGGAAAGTTAAACTTTTTATACAATCAGCTGTCAAATGTAAAGGTCATTTCCCGTAGGTATCGCACAATAGTAATAACTGCATTTGTATTCCGTGCGAACAGTATACGCACACTAACACAAGTTAGCGGCCGGTGGGGAGGCCCCGCGCGCTTAGGCTGTTTGATTAATTACATTGCAGTTTTTGACTGTATGCGGTATTTATTGTTTTTTTTTCGGTTTATTGTTCGGTTTACTCATTGTGATATCATTGTAACCAAAAATAAATAAAAAATTATAAAAAACAAAGAAATGATGATTTTACCGGCAGAAAATTCCAATGATTTTTGACTCAGAATCATGGTCTGAATACACTATTTCAGTATTCGTTACGATGTCCCTCCCCAGTCCCTCCCCCAGCATTATACAGCTGTCTTTGTGAAGTCAGGGTCAGTCAGTCAGGTTCAGGGTGCGCGACGCAGCTATACCTGGTTACCCGGCTACTGGTACCTGGAGAGGGCGTGCGGTTATTGGTCGGTTCGAGTCCGACATAGTCACCCACTGGTGGGTGGTATCCGAGGGGAGTTTTGCACAGAAAAAAAAACATGTGCGCAACGCACGCGTTAGAAGCGCTTCGCTTAGCAAATTGGTGCATCCGCGCGTGTCACATAATAATGGCGGACGGCGTCGCCGCCACACATACCCGTCCGTCATGCCTACCAATTCTAATATACTGCTGTCGAGAATTTTCCCCCTTAATCTATTAAATATACGAGTATAGGAGGAAAGACTAAGCCTCTTACTTGCAGGTGTCCATGGTGATCCATCTGCTTGTTTACCATACCATAAAAAAGCATCAGATTCTTCCCTTCCCCCGCCTCCCTCTAAATTAGGGGGAGGTTGGGGTCTCCGGGAACCTCATCCACTCGGTAAAAGGCAAGGTCGAAAGAATTACTTAGCACTTGTTTTTTGTGAGGCTGTGGTATTACTAATAAATGTTCAGGCTACGGGCCTGTTGGTCTAGTGGTTAGTGACCCTGACTGCAAAACCGGAGGTCGTGGGTTCGATTCCCACCCAGGACAAATATTGTGTGATGAGCACGGTCAGTTGTTCTGTGTCTGGGTGTAATTTATCTATAATATGTATGTATTTAGAAATATATAAGTATGTTTATCAGCAGTCTGGTTACCATAGCACAGACTCTGCCTATAGTCTGTTTTTTAATCTCGTAGACTAAATTGACACATGCAAATGTTAAATTTACAAATAATGTTGCCAGCTCTTTTATGCAGTGTTGTACCTACGATACCGGTTTGTTGAATCGTAACTTTTTATTTATAATAGACGAATTTAATTTTCATTCAAAGTTTTATATTTAAAATCCACGTACGTACACACGGCTGCACGACGTGCTACAAACTGCCAGGGAAATCTGACCACGCAACGCCATGCGTAATCCGACCATGTTTCGATGCCTTTAAATAAAACAAAAAAAATAATACTTGTAATAGATAATGCTCCATATCACACCAGGAAACTGGAATCGTTACCTACTTCTAGTCGGGGAAAAGGGCAAATCCAAGATTAGCTAAAATCAAAAAATATTTCATATGACGAGACAATGTTAAAGCCCGAATTAAATGAAATTGCCCGAAAGCACAAAAAAGCCCATGAAAGGTATGTCGTCGACGAGATGGCTGCTGAACGGGGTGTCACTATTTTGCGACTGCCCCCTTACCACTGCGAGCTAAACCCGATTGAGTTGGTCTGGGCTCAAGTAAAGGGGCATGTCGCTAAAAATAATAAAACATTCAAAATGAATGAAGTACGAAGCCTTTTTGAAGAAGGGCTTCGTCAAGTGACCCCGCAGCGGTGGAAAGACTGTGTAGTCCATGTAATTAAAATTGAAGATCAAATGTGTCATCTGGGCCATATAACCGACGACATTACTGATAGGTTTATCATAGAAGTAGGTGGCGATTCTGATGATTCAGAATATTCCTCAGACATGGAGTCATTATCTGAATCAGATTAACGCGAATACCTGTAATTAATTTATGTAATTAAAAATATATGTTTTACATTATTAATGTTGTATTATTACGTTTTAAATAAGTACCTACACATTATTCCAGGATAACTTATTGTAAAAAACGATACTTGATTTTATTAACGCTAAGTTTCGGTTGTGCCACATCACTATTTAAGAATTGCAATAAACTGACAACACTCGTAATGTCAGTTTAGTCTACGAGATTAAAAAACAGACTTTAGTTTGGGATCAGACGGCCGTGTGTAAGATGTGTGAGGTATATAGGTATATATATGTATATAATGTTCGTTAATTCCACCCTAAGGATGAAAAATATCATCCTTATGTTAATTTCAGTAAAATTACGTCAACGCAACCCAATGTGTGCGGCTTGTTCGGACACGCCGACAATCACCCGTCTGGTTGATTACGAGGCGTTCTGCAAAACGCTGGCCAAAGAAAAAGTAAGTAATCTATATATAAAATGACTTGCTCTGAGTGACTGATTCATCAACGCAAAGACTAAACCGCTGGGGTAAGAACGTAAAACTTGAAAAAGGTAAAACTTGACATTCTGACAGCTTTTTATGTTCTAAGCACCCACTGAAAAAGGATTTTTAGGAACTGAGGCAGGTGTTTTTTTTAGTTTGACAAAACAGAGATTGTTGCTTTTGTGTGTGTTGATCTATGACTTTAGATTCTACATAAAAGACGATTCCAAACTATTTTAAAAAAAATATGAAAAAAAGAGACTTTGAGTTTAGAAATTTCACCCCTAAGTGGGTAAACTAAAGGGGTAACGGTTGCATGGAAGCTTGCCATTTTCAAAGTTAGAAACACGAAAAATGATATAATCACGCGAGTGAAGTCGCGGTCAATGGCTAATTGTTAGATAAAAACAAAGAGTACAATAGAGTTGGCATCGAATGGGTACCGTCCTTGTAATTTGCCTAGTACGTTCAGCTTTAGGCAAAAAAAATAGCTTTATATTTTAAAACCTAATTATCAGATATAGCTGACTCGCTCCCCTCCCCTCACTTCCCTCCCATACGCCCACCACTGTAACTCCTGTATACCAGGATCAACAGCAGTGACCCACGAACACACCGAATTATGACACTCGGGAAGTCGCAGGAAAAATTAAACGGTTTTGGAACCTGCAACGAAATTAATCAGAAGAAAATTGTAGGAGTTGGAAATATAATAAATCCTCCTCCTTAGCAAAGCGGGATACAAAATGAAGTAAAAATAGGCATACACCCTTTTAAACAGGGAAGCACCACGGACACAAAATATTATGGGTCCTAAGTGAGCTATATTTGATTTCTATAATATGTCTGGTAGAATCGCCCAAACGCAACGAAATTAACCCTTTTTTTTCTGTGCGGAAATCCCCTCGGACCCACCGGTGGTTATGTCGGACTCGAACCGACCAAAAACTGCACCTTGTCTGGGGTATTAGTTGCTGGGGAACCAGGTGTACCCTATAAAGGAAATCCCTGATACACCGAAATTAACCCTAGTTGACACAACAAGTTAAAACACCCTATTGCTATACTATTTTTGGTATTAATTTAAAAGAAATTGTTTTTACTTCGTTTATAAATAAGGGTATTCATATAATCCCGGATTCCCGCTCGTAACAGCTCAAAAATGATCAAAACTGCGAATGTTCCAAGGTAAGTTATTATTCCAAATTATACATATTTTATTTACATTATTAATTTATTTATTTAAATTCTCGTAAAATATTTAAAATCAAAATGTTCGCGGTTTTGAATTGTTTCGTTAAGAATTTGGATGACACTTTCTTTTTACATACATACCTACACTCACACTACATCCCCGGAGGAAGCATATTTAAACGCACACATTGTACTATCATAATATGTATATAACCTGTTACATAAGCGGCAGTGTTCGGTCGTAAAGATGTGTACTAAGTTGTTCTCTAATAGCGAGTGTGCCCGTGGGTGTGTGTGTATCCGTGTGTGTGTGTGTGTGTGTGTATGTGTTTTGTTTCGTCTCACCAAAGTTAGAACGCTCTTTTTACCTGTACATAAATAAATTTAGTAGCTTCTATCATCTTGTTCTTAAAGCCAGACAGTCGATCAACTTTAAATAATGACTCAATTTTAAATACAATTTCCATACACCAGTGTTTCTATAGTAAAACCATCAATTAGTAAAAAAAGCATTATTATAAATAATCTAGCAACACAAAAATTCGTTATTTTGATAAACAAAAAAACTATACAGTTTAGGAATGAAAGCGTTAGGTCGCTGTGGGCCTGGGCCACCTCCAGGGCCCTGTGGGAGCGGGACTAAAAGCTTTTTGTATATAAAAAGTTTTTTTTACATAAAATAGTATATGCTTTGAGGTGTGGTTTTATTTTGAAATGCCACATGACACAAAAGTCCATATACAGTTCAAATTATACTGGTCAATGAAATAAAACAAGACATTCAAAGCAATCCAAATATTATTAAAATAAAAAAAGAGAAACTCATCCAAATTCCAGACCATGACTTTGAAACGCTTAAATTTATTCTCAACTTTACTTTTTTTCCAGAAACATCAGGATCCCCTTAAAATAACAGAAAAAAGAAAACGCGAGAAGGAGAAACGTATGACAGGCCAGAGTTACTACGGTTTCCGAACGCAGACCGAAGGAGATAAAACGAAATACATACAAGACGTACCAAAGTCTGAAAGAAAACTTGGCCGACCATGCAACTCTGAAATATGCGCCAATAATACCACCCGGTACTGTTCAAAACTCACCGACGAGGACAGAGAAGCAATCTTCACCCACTTCTGGCGGCTAGACTGGTCGAAAAAAAAAGACTTTGTAAAATCTTTAATAAACATAGTCCCAGCAAAAAGACGTCGAACTACCCACAAAGACGGAAATTCTAGAAAAGGCGATTCAAAATTATATAATTTAGTTTTTGATGGCGAAAAAATTCCTGTATGTCGGGTGACTTTTTTAAATACCTTGGGGATAAAGGAAGCTATGGTGCGGTGTTGGCTCGCGAACGACACTAAACCTCGTACCACAAAAACCCCCATAAAATCCCTATCAGTAATCTCTTACATAGATGATCTACCAAAAATAGATTACAACTGCAAATGTCATCAAAATATAAAATATATAAATTATAATGTTAATAATCAATTTCAGTTATATAATGTGTATTCAAAGGCGATGATCAGTCAAGGAGTCACTCCAGCTTCTAGGAAGACCTTCGCGAAAGTTCTGAGTAGAAAAAATTTGAGGGTATATAATTCTAAAACTGATAGGGGTTTGTGTAATTGTGGTGGTTGGAATGTGTGATTTTGCTATTTTTATAGTACCTTTGGGGAGCAAACGAGCAAAGGTCATCTGATGGTAAGTGATGACTGCCACCCATGGACATTTGCAACCTAAGAGTCACAAGTGAATAGCCGCCCTTTGAGTATCGCTGTCCCAAAGGGCAGATCAGGTAACTTAACTCGCACGCTTGCCTTGCGTTGCCCACGCGCAGGTCCTAAACGGATCGCACGCTGTCCGCGAGTAGTGGGTGGAAAAGGACTATCCCTGACAAACTACTCAACGCAATGTCTCGTTGGCCACGGGACATTCATTGGTTAACAACGCGAGATCTTCAAGTGAACCACCTATCAAAGACGAGTGGACACCGAGCGACGAGGTGGCTGGTCGGGTGTCGGGTTGGCCTAATAAGCTATGACCTTAAGTCTACCTCTCATCTCTCTCTCTGTTCTCTAGCTCTGTTGTCAACGTCAACTAATTGAAGAATTTCGTTCAAAATAAATAAACTTTCGTTGCTATTTAGGGAGTGAATGAGATTAACGGCGGCCAAAACAGCCCCCCCACCCCCCCTCCTGTTTTGTCATTTGTGTCTCTTGCAGGTGTCATGGACCGTCCATACCATCAGGTGACCTGTCCGACCGTAAAAGTTAGAATCTCTAGTAGACTGACTGATTTTAATAAGTATTGATGTTTTATATATGTTGTATATTTTATATGATTGTTTTATAAGAAATAAATATGTGAAATACTAAAAAATAATCTTGTTTTATTCATCAACAGACATTGGCTGAACATAGGCCTCTCCTTAGAAAGGAGGTTTTGGCCTACTATACCACGCTGGCCACGTTTTCCTCTTTTTGCAGTGCTGTAATCCTACGTAGTTTGCTCCCTTAATCGGCTTTTACGTCACCCACGGGATGAATAGTGGTGGTGGTACTCATTATTTTATGTTATTTTAGACACGAACCAAAATAGGCCTACTCAATAATTACTGACAGCACTATTTTTAATTACATGTAGTTTTATTGCGATTAACGCCATCTAGCGAAGATATGCTGAACTATTTGAGGAAATTGATCCCCAATCGCGACAGAAAATTCTCACAATAAACTAGATGGGAACCTACCTTCTAGTAGAATGAATTTAAACAATGTATATGTATACAACATGTTTTTTTCGAACTATCGCATTCCATTATACATTGTAACTAGCGTATGCCCACGACTTCGTTCGCGTTTAATTTGAAAAGCGCTGTCTTAGTGCGCGATTCCCGACCAGGCAAACTTTTATAGGGGTTAAAAAATAAGCTAAGTTACTCCTTATACAAACAGCTACGGAGTAGTGAAATGTTATCCAAATCAGTCCAGCTATTTCGATGACTTCCTGAACAAACAGACAGATAGACAGAAAATATTTATACTTGTTTTTAGGCATAAGTACCGTGCAAATAACCGTGCATGAAAAAAACCTATTATTTTGACATTACAAACAGACACTTCAATTTTATTTATATGTATAGACCATGTTTAGGTAAATTTACTTGCTTACGATATCCCTTTACCTTTATCTATACCTTTGAATTGCCTGATAGCCTGACAGGCTTTGCCTAGTTTGGGATTAGACTGCCGTGTGCCTGTGCTATGGTAACCAGACTGCTGATAAACATACTTATATATTTCTAATTACACACATATTATAGACAAATAACACACAAACACAGAAAAAATTGATTGCACTAATGGCGTAGTGGTTTAAGCGGTCACCTCGCCGTTTCCTACTGTGTTGTGGGTCTGATCCCCACATGGGACATCACTTTGTGTGATACACATATTGTAGTTCTGAGTCCAGTTGTTCTTATGTATGAAAAAAAAAGCCTCATCTCATAATTATTTGTCCTGGGTGGGAATCGAACGCACGACCTCTGGCTTAGCAGTCAGGGTCACTAACCACTAGGGTACTAGACCAATACGTCAATCCTTATATTTCTAATCTATCTTTCTTTCAGGAATTAGAACTCCACATTCTGCCACCAATAAACCGCATCACGGCTAAAGATTTCTCTATACTCCAGAAAGAGAAAACAACTCTACTGATAGATGTGAGAAACGAATCCGAATTTGACATGTGTCACATAGAGGGCGCTCAGAATTCGCCAATAGACAATGTAGAATCCAAGATGGAGGAGTTATTGAGAAGAGTACAAGATAATAAAGGAGCAGGTTTGTGTGTGAGACTTAGCCTTTTGAACTTGGGGAAACTGTTACATATTTTTTATGGTATTAGGGGGCAGACAGACTGGTCACCTGCTGGTAAGTGACTATCGCCGCACTTGGACACCTGCGAGTGCCCTAATGCCCATTTCCCTTCAGAATTCTTTACAATAGGGGGGTGATAGGGTTGGTTTCCGATAACCTCACTCTGAAATGATTTAACTGCGGTTTTGTCATATTCTATAAAATGTATAGAAAACTGTAATATACACCTAAATTTTGCACATAAATCACTCTATCTCTTAGTGGGAACCCTAAAAGGAGCCGTTTGATACTTCTATAGTTTATTGTGTACATAGGGCCTAGTACCCGCGTTCGTCGTTGCTATTGGTCCGAACTGAAATCTAAACCAATTGCAACTTTTTTTTAATGGTAGGCCCCCTAGGCAAATGAGCTGACGGGTCACCCAATGGAAACCGCCGCCCATGAACGCCTGCAACTCAGCAGTCACAAGCGCGTTGCCAGCCTTTGAAGAAGGAGTACGCTCTTTTCTTGAAGGTTTGAAGGTCGTATCGGTCCGGAAATACCGCGGCCGATAACTTGTTCCACAGATTGGTAGTGCGAGGCGAAAATTGGTGGAGCGCCAATTATCCAAGTGGTGGGGATGAAAATGAAAGGTTGCGGCCGGTATTAGCCCAAACAATTTCTCGGAGCACTCGGAACTTCAAACGTGCTCGCCGTCGACAGGGAGTTGAAGTAAAATAAACTCGAATTAAGCCCTCAGATAAACAGACGCGGTGGTGGACTTGCTTTTATAATATGAAATGGTAATTATAGTGTCTTTTTTTCAGTGGTGTTCGTATGTCGGCGCGGCAATGATTCCCAGATTGCAGCCAAAATGCTTTTATCGAAGCTTCCAGAAGAACATAAGTCCAAAATTAAAGATATGATCGGTGGTCTACACGCTTGGGCTCAAGATATAGACAAAACATTTCCTGTGTATTAAGAAAACAAGCCTTATATTAACCATGACCAACCGTGACCATTCTACTACCATTTGACAGACAACTCTAACGCCGCGCTCTCATTGGTCACATCAAATAGCGCGCGCTTCTTGTTACATATTTCCGTCCCTACTTTAATTATACACATGAAAGAGTTTAAAGCTTTAGCGTTCCATGAAATATAATGCAGGATTTTTTCCTGGCTATCCATTGGTGACCTTCAAACTGACCTTGATCGCAACCCTGAAGGTTATTTCAAGGGTCAAGGGTAATTTTGAAATTTGCATATTGAGACCGAAATTGAAAAGAGAGGAAAAAATTTCAATCGGATATGACCTACCACCAATCCAAGGTATAAGTTCGTTTGAAATTGGACGCTAAAGCTCTGTCACAGGGTCGAATTTCAAACTAAGTTTTCAAACACAAATTGTTGTTCTGAGTCTGGTTGTTCTCTGTGTCCGTTTGAAATATGTATTTTTCCCCCACGACACAGGATATATTCCTAATGCGGGCGTTGTCTTTTTTTTTAAAGTTACTTTTTTAATATATACACATCAACAACTATAACAAGGCAATAAATGCTATAACACCTTAAAAGGTTTAGAAAATAAGTGTTTTATATTAACTTTTTGAAGTTAATTTTTTTCTCATTTGATTTTGCGATTAAATATTGCTCATATAGTATAAGAAATCAGCAAATAGATTTAAGTAAATTGTTCTACATTTTTATACTGTTATAAATTAAATATTTGAAATTTGATGTTTTTATTTATTTATTTATTTTAAACTTAATGCACATATTGTACAAAGGCGGACTTAATGCCATTAGGCATTCTCTCCCAGTCAACCTTCAGGTGATGTAGAAATGTGATGCGGTTGAATATTAATACAAAAATGTACCAACGATAAAGCGTGGTGACGGATAAAGAACACCACCCCTATTCATGCCGTGGGTGTCGTAAGAAGCGACTAAGGGAAAAAAACTAGGCAGGACACCAGCACTGCAGAGAGAAGGAAAACTTGACACAAACCCTATACCAACCCGTCTGGCCAGCGTGGTATAGTATAGGCCAAAACCTCCTTTCTGAGGAGAGGCCCAAGTCCAGCATTGGACTATTAAAGGCTGTTGATGATGATGCTGCTTACTTATTCTCAATTCTGAAGCGTTGTAAAAAAAAGGTTATAATTGAATAAAATAAACTAATTAATAAATTTATTAACTAATTAAGATTTAAATACATTTATTCGTTTATTATATATTATAAACGAGGGTAGTTGTAAGTCAAGTGTCTTGTAATATTATTTCTTTAACGCAATTCTTAGATCCTGTTCATCAAAGTCATACTGCAAGTCAGCTTCGGCAGCGGTCTCCCCGTTCCTCATCATTGGTTTTTCATAGCTATCATCACTTATATCAGCACCTTAGAAAAAAATAATTTTTAGTTTTACTTAAGGGTATCACGAGACTTAGTAACTAAAGACATTTTGCCACTAGCTGACCCACGTAACTTCGACTGCTCTCGTCTCTCTAAAAAGGAATATTTTTTTCCCGTTTCTGCAACATTCTTCATTCAAACTCAAACACAAACTTTCTTTATTTCATAAAATTTCCAAAATTGTTTGAAATCGTCTTCCATGTAGACTCTAAAATTATAGATCATCATTGATGCCATTGGCCGTAGAGTGATATTATATGGTCTAGGTATACCCTCGATCCCCTGGGATAGGCCTTGATTAGGCATGGTGTCAATTCGGGGAGGACCTGAAATAGCATTTTCCGGGTCCTCCCAGAGTAGGACACCCGAGGCCGGCCGTCGGGGTGGTTTTAGTGGAATCACCACATACTCCTGGCTGCTGTTGCTGAAATTAAAATCAAGGGGGTGCTTTAAAATATTTATTCCCTTATCTCTTCGTACTTTTCACAAGGTACAACTAAACTAAGACTTGGTCATCATTCTGTGTCGAAGGCGCTTACAATGGGATGTCCTCAGGGATCGGTGCTAGGTCCATACTTGTGGAATATCGGCTTCGACGATTTTCTTGCGATACCAATACCATCCGGATGTACTCTGAACGCGTATGCTGATGACGGCTTATTACTGGTGGAATCTGATACTAGGGCGGGGCTTGAGAGATTAGCCAATAGATGTTTGAACTTGATATCTCAATGGGGTGAACGTAATCGCTTAACTTTTGCACCCAACAAAACCTTCCAGCTACTTTTAAAAGGTAACCTCAAATCACCGCCGAGCATTAGATTTGACAATGTTACTGTAAAAAATAAAACCGCAGTGTGTTATCTAGGATTAGTTTTAGAAAGAAACTTTTCATTTATCGAACATATTAAAATAGTTAATGAAAAGTCTAAAAAGAGTTTCTGTGCATTGACAAGGATATCAACTGCGACATGGGGTCTATCATTTAATACATTAATAATCATATACGGAGCTACTTATCTAGGTTCTATGTGCTATGGTGCACCTGTATGGGCCGATAGGGCGACCGTAGGCGCTGTCCGTCGCAAACTGTTACAAGGCCAACGACTTGCACTAATATTTTTGTGCAAGGCATATAGGACGGTTAGCACTGAGGCTTTGCCGGTGTTGGCAGGTGTCCTTCCGGTCGATCTCGAGGTGCAGAGACGTGCAGCCATGTACTATTCAAGACAAAACATGGAATGCGATTTCTTGGGCGCGCGGGATCGCGGTAAAATTACAAGATTGCTTCAACAGCAGTCCGATGTCTATAATGACCTCATAGACGAATGGCAGCAACGCTGGGACGAATCATCCAAGGGGCGCCATCTTTACCAATTTTTTCCATCTGTTCGCGAACGGTTGTCGAGGACATGGCTTGAGGTGGATCACTGTGTCGCTCAATTTCTTACGGATCATGGTAACTTTAAGAGCAAGTTGTATTCATTTAAATTAGTCGAGTCACCATTGTGTCAATGCTCAACACCTAACTCTCATTATGAACAATCTGCTCATCATATCCTCTGGGAATGTAGTCTTTGGTATAATGAACGTAATATAATGCTGAATAGCTTGCAGGTGACATCTGGGGCGGTATACTATGGGGATCTTGTGTCAACTAGGGTGAATTTCCGTGCGTTTAGGCGATTCTGCTATACATATTATAGAAATCAAATATAGCTCATGTAGGACCCGTAATATTTGTGGCCGTGGTGCTTCCCTGTTTAAAAGGGTGTATGCCTATTTTACTTCATTTTGTCTCCCGCTTTGCTAAGGAGGGAAGTGGATTTACTGTATTTCCAACTCCTCCAATTTTTTTCTGATTAATTTCGTTGCGGGTTCCAAGACAGTTTAATTTCTTCCTGGGACTTCCCGAGTGTCATAACTCGGCGTGTTCGTGGGTCACTGCTGTGGATCCTGGTGTACAGGAGTTACAGTGGTGGGCGTGATAAGTCCCAAAAAACAAAAATACTCCTGGCTTCTGAGTCCCCAATGAGCAGGAGAGCAACAAAAAAAAAGGTATGCCCTTGATAAATGGGCTATCCAACCCTAAACCAGTAGTTCCTGACATAAGCGCGTACTCTGATGTCAGATAACACTGAGAAGTAAAGCCGCTACCGGATGCTTTCACACTACTTGTCATTTAGCTAACTTCAAGATGACATACTCGTAAATTTAAGGTTATATAGTGATGTAAAGTTACATACAAATGCTTACAAAACTGTGACGTCTTCCCCTTAACGGCAATCTTAAATATAAGGCGAAAGATTTATACGTTATGAAGGGAAACCAGGGTTTATATGAAGTTCTAAGAGAGCCGTAATTAACCTGCATGAGAAACCGTTAAAGTCATTATTAAGGTCATTTTTATGTCATATCTATGTAAAAATTCTATGAACTGACCTTTCTTTAACGTCATTTGGAGGGCATGTGTTCACTGGAGATGCAAGTGAAGTGCTCAGCCGTCCGAAATTATGTACCGAAGCGTGATTCTCCCACAGTTAGTTGGGGTATCATCTTTTCAAAGATCGTAGTTTTTTAAGTGAATGTTACCTCTAAACGTCTCTTACCTTTATTGTCTTCTGGTCTCTTCCCAGATATCTTAACTTCACGAGTGCTCTTGTCTCCTGTGTTATATGAAGTAAGCTTGTGCTTTTCTTTTGTTTCATTTTCCTTGAGAAGAGTCAAAATTCTTGTAATATTAATCTTTCCATTTAATCCTGTAAGATAGAGTTAAACTCAAACATTTTTATTAGTTTTCTCGCTCGTGGCTCCGCCCGCGTATATGTTTCCCACTCACTACTACGCTGAGTGTTGTGGGTCCGATACCCACTTGGGACGACACTTTGTGTGATTCACAAATAATTGTTCTGAGTCTGGGTGTCCTTTGTGTCCGATCCATGTATGTTTGTAAAGTCCCTCGCGACTCACGATATATTTTTAATACGAGAGTCATCTTTTTAAAAGAAAAAAAACAGTTGTCGCAACTCTGGGTCCACCTAAATTGGACAAACGTCGCCAACCAGCTTTGGAGCAAGCTATTGGTAGTGCTCTTCCGTTAAAGATAAAACTGAATTGACCACGATTAATCCGTGTGGTGACGAATTAAGAATGCGGAGTCTCGCCACGGCTGTGTATCCCGTGGGTGTCGTAAGATCCGACTAAGGGAGCAAATTACGCAGGACAACAGCACTGCAAAGAGAAGGAAAGTTTGAAACAAACCCTATAACAACCCTTCTGGTCAACGGGGTATAGTAGGCCAAAACCTAATTTCTAATGAGAAACCTACGCCCAGCAGTGGACTGTTAACGGCTGTTCACGATGAGACGCCGGGAGGTGGAAGATAACGAGGCTCATGTAATAAAAAGGCCAACGTCTTATTAAGAAATCTGACGGTCACCTATTTGGTCAAATCAAATAGCTCGTTTCCCCGATTATTTGTTACATACTCCCGTCTTTTTCACCTAATTCCTCCCACCAATTGATCAGATGAGAAAAAAGATATTGCTAATACGTGAGTAAGAAGTACAACATCTATTATAGATGGATCATGAACAGCCTTTACTAGTGCACTGCTGGACATAGGCCTCTCCTTAGAAAGGATGTTTTGACCTACAGTTACTATACCGCGGTATGGTGAGTCGGGTTGGTGTAGAGTTTGTTTCAAGTATCCCCTCTCTTTGCAGTGCTGTTGTCCTGCGTAATTTTCTGCCTTAGTCGGTTCTTACGACACCCACGGGATGAATAGGGGTGGCGACATTCCGTATTTTTAATCCGTCACCACGTTATGGATGTTTACCTAAAATGATTGGTTTTATGTGATCAAGTACTTCATTGATTTTCTTAGCGTCCAGTTGTTCCTTTGGCGCTCTACGTTTAGCATTCGATGTATTTGAAGTGATGATGAAAACTGGAAAACAGAAATCATTATTATTGAGTAGGTTAATATTATTTTTATTTAAGTGGGTTTAGAGACCCTACTAAGGTAATTGAGCATTGTGCTAAGGTTTTCCTTGGTTTCAGCCATGACCACTACATGATCAGCAAACATACTCCATCCAGCAGCTCAAAGACGTCTTCCAGTGCTGCGGTAAACACTTTCGGAGATATTACATCTCCCTGCCTCACACCTCGCTGTAATCGCATAGGTTTCGAGCTCTGATCCTGTAGGTAGACTGGCGGGAAGCCGTTGGATGCGGGCAGCACAAGACTGGTTGTTGTGGAGAACCTTGAGGAATGCCTATGTCCATCAGTGGACGTTTTTCCGCTAAGATGATGATGATGATGAAGTGGGTATAACATTGTGTGGCAACTTCCACATACAATAAAACAAAAATATACTACAGCGCCATCTAACGAAGACACACCGAACTACGGAGTAACTGCCAATCCTGTATCGCGATATGAAAGTTCTTACGCCCAGTATCATAATTATATAACGCTGCCAGGTATGATCACCGCGTGGTCAGAGGATCCTGCCCTTCTGTTGGAAGGATATGACACCCCTCATAACATCATATCAGCTTTTTTTATGTTCCAGATATTTATCAAATGAAATATAGAAAATCTCTAATAAAACTATTTTATTACTCACAAGTTATAAATATGAGACTTATAAATTTACATTTCATTGTAACATCAGATATGCAATTCGAAGAGCACAGCAAAATGGACAATTAAAAAATCATTTTCGTCACAGTCAAACTTTGATTTGGCGCGAAATTGCATTGACATCTAAGATCTGTTTATAATCTGTGACGATTAGTTGCAGATAAACAGACAGACTCATAGAGATATAAGCATAGAGAGAACACGGGATACAGCTACCTGTAAGTGGAAGCGATACAGTGATCGAGAGAGATGGATGTTCGATAGTTTCCTATGTTTCTCTTTAGCTAAGCTGCGATTGGCTACTTTATAACCCTTAATATTCCCACCCAACCAAAGAGCTCGGCTAGAAAGAGATAAGAGGCGTATATCTATTACCCATCTCTCTCGTTGCCTATTTTGCAAGATTGGGGCTCTCGTTCACTCTATGCTTATATTCTATGGGCTAACTCTTTTTGTTGGCGTCAGATGGTAAATACTAGTTAGCCTTTGTTTCTTTTTAACTAGCTTTATATAGAGTATTACAGAACATAATGGTCTGTCAGATAAAATGTATTTATCAAACCTAAAGCGGTTTTCTCCTACAGTCTAAAAAATAGTTTTAATTTTCACTTATTTAATTAATGTACTATTTTTTTGCTCGCAAGTGTACATACGCAAACTTTCTCCCACTATGTCTCCCAATGTCTATAATACGTAAGTATTTAGTAATAATATATGTGACCTGTGGACATGTAGCTGCTTCACATCAACAGCCTTTAACAGTCCACTGCTGGACATAAGCCTCTCCTTAGAAGGGGGGTTTGTCCCCTTTTAACTAAGTGGGACTAAAATCCATACTACCATACTCCATACTAATATTATAAATGCAAAAGTGTGTCTGTCTGTTACCTCTTCACGCTTAAACCGCTAAACTGATTTCGATGAAATTTGGTATAGCGATAGTTTGAGTCCCAGGAAAGGACATATGATAGTTTTATCCCAGAAATCATCCTTTCAGGGGGTGGATTTAGATGAATTTTGGTATGAACATAGTTTGATTCTTGAGAAAGGACATACTTTTTACCGCGATAACCGACATACACGCGGGCGGAGCCGTGTACAAAAGCTAGTGTAATGCCTGAACGGATGGCGTAGTGGTTTAAGCGGTCGCCACGCCGCTCACTACTACGCTGAGTGTTGTGGGTCCGATCCCCACATGGGACGACACTTTGTGTGATCCACAAATTATTGTTCTAAGTCTGGGTGTTCTTTGTGTCCGTTTCATGTATGTTTGTAAAGTCCCCCGCGACACAGAATATATTCCTAGCTAAGCAAACTGTGGGGAATGGATTATCTTCTATACAAATAAATAAAATTGGAGTGTCTGTTTGTAATATTAAAAAACCGCTTTTTACTAAATGCATAGTATGTTTACACAATACATATGCCAAAATAACATTTTTTACAATTTTTGTCTGTCTGTTTGTTCCGGGTAATCTCTGGAACGGCTGGACCGATTTTGATGGGACTTTCACTGGCAGATAGCTGATGACATAAGGAGTAACTTAGGCTACTTTTTTAGACTAGCTTCGCCCCGCTGCGTTGCCCGCTGTTATAACAACAAACGCGGGTCTCAGCTAGTGTATTATATTTCTATAGAAATTATCTCTATTTCCTCAGTCTCTATACCGGTGTTACATATCTTACATTTTTTCAACAAGCATGGCTCTCCCAATGTAAATTCTTTAGTTTATAGGGTTCCGTACCTCAAAAGGTAAAAAAGGAACCCTTATAAGATCACTTTCTTGTCCGTCTGTCCGTGTGCCACCACCGATTTTCTCAGGAACGGGTAGACCTAGCAAGTTGAAATTTATACCAGATACTGAGGTCTATGGTCAATATTAGGTGTATACAAAACAAAGTTCCTGAGTCAACACTATAAAAAGAACAAGGTCAACCCTATAGGTTTTGGGTCGAAAGCCTATATGGTAATTCCCGCTGACCTAGAATCACGAAATTTGGCAAAAAGAAACGCCTTACAGATCAAATAAAGGAATAATTCAAAAAATAAAAAAGTTGAAAATTAAGATAAATTTTAATACTTACAAATTTTCGCGAAAATCTACGTAAAATCTGGGTAGGGACGGAACCCTCGGCGTACGAGTTCGACTCGGTCTTTTTTTTTGTGTAGAACACATAAACTATGTATCTAGTCTAAACTTTTCTCCATTTGTGAAATTCAGTAAAAAACTCAGATCGGATCAGTTCTTTTCTTAGTTTTAAACCAACCTTATTATTCTTTCTTAAACATAGGAATGTCTATATAAGTTAACAAATTCAAATTCTTTATTTGCTATAAATAGGGTTGGTTCATGCAGATTTGGTAGTTTTTTTATTAATATTTGCCGCCAATTTTGCCGTCAAGACAGCATTAAAAAAAGATTAAATCTAAAAAAAAGATTAAAAAAAGGCTTAATTAAATCGTTGTTTCCTATCCTTTTAGCGCCCAGGATTTCTAAAAAAAGAAAAACGAAGCCAAGTTTGCGAGTATCACAATAATTAATCTATATTAGCTCATTAATATTTACAAATGCGCTTTTATGTCTGTGGATACGTGTGCCTACTCAAAAAGAAAAAAAATGAATATGAAATTTGGCACTGCGTCACAAAGCAATCACAATATTCTACACCCTATCTATATCGTTTATTTTACCTGTCCAAAGCGAATTTCGTATACAATCTTATTGTTCATCCATTAAACAGATCGGTATTCCATAATAGCCCCTATGTTCTAAGCGAAAAGGACCACCATAATATATACAATAAGAAAACGTTTTATAGGTTAACTTCCAAGCCCTTTTCTTCATAAACTGACCTGTGATTGGCTAATTTAGAAAATGCGCGCGCATTTGGAAAAGCGAATATAAGTGCTTTCCTCTTTGTACGATATACATTGCTCGTTTTTCTTTGTAGAATTAGTAACATTCAAAAATAAACAGCAATGATTACTAAATTATTTATATTGTCATGTAACTTATTACAAAGTGTTAGCAATTCTTTGAATGCAATAGATACTCTCCAGTCGAGTTTTGCTATCCGTTGCACTTAGTAAAGAATTTTCTAGTGAACAAAAATATTTAATATGTAATCGAAAAGTAATAAAAACAAAAACAAAATATAAAATGTGTGCCTTAAAATTAAAAAAAATAATTGTGTATTTTTAAGAGTAAAAAATAAAATAAATAGAGATTAATTATTTCCTATTAAAGAGAATTAAATATTCAGATATATATATATATTTTGTATTAAAAAGGCTATTTGGAAATATTTTAGCGGTTCCAATTTTGAATTTTTTTTTTGCAAATGGCGAATGTAGGCAAAGTTTTGGCTACAATAAAAGCAGTGATTACACGTTTGGTCTTCGCTTGTCACGGCATTATAGCAATATGGCAGGTGACGTGCTTTAAAGATGACTTAGAATATTGGTATTTGGCATCTCCGATTCTCTTGCTGATCTTCGAAGGTGTTTTCACGCTAACTATAAAGGAGAATCAGGAGTGGAAATGGTAAGTCATAGATAAATTATTACCCACTTTAAAATATTACCCACTTTAATACACCTACAAAATGATGTATTGTAACAGCTGAATTCTTCATTCCTTATCTTTTTCCTCCTTAACCTTGAAGAAAAAGTACAACCTTTAACGTTGTACTTTTTCTTCGAATTTGAACAGAACCAAACGAGAATTATTATCTCCCAAATAAGAAGAAATCCAAATTGATTTATAAATTACTGAGTTCTGAAGTAACAAATAATGAAAAAAAAAGTTACCGAATTTAGAACGGAACGTTTAAAATAACCGCTTTTTAATGACACATAAATTTATTCTTGAAATAGGTATTTTCAGAAACTTTTACTCGTCTGTTTTCTACAGCCTAAATTGTGTCTGCATGAAACAAACGTAAAGGATCCAACTCTACATGAACTGAAACTGAGCTAGTGGCATGTTCCATGGTAGACTAACAACCATTTTAGTTTTCATTCCTGTCCCTTGTAGTGACGGATTAAGAATACGGAATGTCACCACCTTTATTCATTCCGTGGGTGTCGTAAGATCCGACTAGAGAGCTATCTACGCAGGACTGCAAAGAGAAGGCAAACTTAACACAAACCTTATACCAACCCGTCTGGCCAGCGTGGTATCACATCACATCACATCACATCAACAGCCTTTAATAGTCCACTGCTGGACATAGGCCTCTCCTTAGAAAGAAGGTTATAGGTCTCAGCGTGGTATAGTAGGCCGAAACCTTCTTTCTAAGAAGAGGCCAACGTTCAGTAGTGGACTATTTAAAAGCTGTTAATCTGATGTGAGACCAATCCCGACACACAGTAGTCAAAGTTAAAATATCTTTATTACATAAAATTATTTAAGAATTTTTTGAACTCTGAAGTCATAGATCAACACTCACGATAGCAGCCATTTGTTTTGTCAAATATTTAGCAAACTAAATTTAAAATACCTATACTGAAAGTTTCTGGATTCTGATAAATAAGACTAGATATAAGACTTACGATACATTTATTGTTTTTCAAAGTATATTCCCTCGCAATTATTGCATTTTGCATTCGCTAAAACCACTGTATTATTAAAGGAAACGTACACACACGTATTGCGTGCGTATTACATGCAATACCCATCGAGAGCAAAGCTTCCGAACCTTCAGATGCACATGTAAAATGGTTTGCACTTGACTGATTCTAATGCTTAGGCATTCTCAAAGACTCTCCAAACCAGTTCACCAACATCAACAGCCTTAATTTGTCCACTGCTGGACATAGGCCTCTCCTTAGGAGGTTTTGGCCTACTATACCACGCTGGCCAGACGGGTTGGTATAGGGTTTGTTTCAAGTTTTCCATCTCTTTGCAGTGCTGTTGTCCTGGGTAGTTTGTTCCCTTAGTCGGCTCTTACGACACCCACGGGATGAATAGGGGTGGTGACACACCGTATTCTTAATCCGTCACCACACGGACAAACC